CGCGGCCGCCCGCGCCCGCGCCGCGGCCCCGGACGCCGCCGAGCTCTCCCCGGCGCCGCGGCGGCGCCGGCGGGTCGCCCGGGTCGCCCGGCCGCGGCGGCCGCGCGCCCGCGCCCGCCGCCGCGCCACCGCGGCGCTGGGCCGGCGACGCGCCCGCCGCCGCGGGCCCGCCGCCGTCCTTCGCCGCGGCCGCGGCCGCGCCCGCGGCGCCCCAGACGGCGCCGCCCGCGCCCGCGCCGCGGCCCGCGCCGGCGAAGAAGGACGAGGGCGACGCGCAGCTCACGAAGCGCCTCGAGGCCTTCATCAGCGAGCACCGCCTCGACGAGTCGTGCGCGCGCGAGTTACGCGGCGCGCCGCCGGAGATCTCGCGCCGCGCGCTCGCGACGGCCCACATGGCCAAGGCGCGCAACCCGTCGGCCTTCGCGCTCATGTGGTGGGCGCACCACGGCGCCGCGGTCCGCGGCCCGAACCAGAAGGTGACGAAGCCGCCGCCGCTCCGGCCGGGCGAGAAGCCCGTCGCGCAGCAGAAGCCCGGCGCCGTGCCCACGTCGCCGGGCGGCGGCGGCGGCGGCGGCCGCCGGAGCCGCGGCGGCGCCGGCCGCAACGCCGCGAGCCGCCGCGCGAGCGGCAAGTGAGCCCCCCGCGGAGCCAACGCGCGCGCCGAGGAGGCGCGCGCCGCCCCTCTAAGCTTAGATACTGTCCTTAGGAGCCCCCCCGGGTACGCACCGTGCTAGGAGCCGCCACGGCCTCTCAGAGCGTAGATACTCTCCCGTGGACAGGGTACGCACCGTCTTTACGACGCTCCGCCCCGGCCCCGCCACCCCGCGCGCTCGCGCTGCTCGACGAGCTCGAAGAGCTCCGCGTGGCGCCGCCGGAGCGCGGCGAGGTCCGCGTGGGCCCGGCGGAGCGCCTCGTCGCGGGCGCGGAGCTGGGCGGCGCCCCGCTCGCGCTCCGCGGCGACCGCGCGGTCCGCGTCCGCGGCCGGCGCGGCGGACTCGGCGCGAAGTTGCGCGAGCTGCCGCGAGAGCGACTCGGAGCAGGCGACGGCGCCGACGGCCTCGAGGGCGCTCTCCGCCGCGTGGATCGTCGCCGCGCCGGCCCGCGCCTCGGCGTCCTCCGCGCGGGCCCGGAGCGCGTCGACCTCGCGCGCGAGGGCCTCGCTCCGGTCGTCGCGCGGCGGCGGCAGCGCCCGCGCGGCCGCCAGCTCCTCCCGGAGCGCCGCGCAGTGGCGCCGCTCGTCCTCCAACTGGCGCTCGAGGTCCGCGGCGCGCTCGTCCCGCAGGCGCGCGGCCTCGTCGCGGCCGCTCCGCAGGTGGTCGGCGGCCGCGGCCGAGCGCGCGGCGTCGGCCTGGAACTTCGCGGCCTCGCGCCGCAGGTCGCCGGCGTCGCGCGCGGCGTCCTTCGCGGCGGCGACCTCGGCCCGCAGCGCGTCGCTCGCTCGCCGCAGCTCCGCGTTCTCCCGCTCGAGCCGCGCGGCGCCGGCGCGCGCCGTTTCGACGTCGCGCAGGGCGGCGTCGCGTTGCCACCGCAGCTCCCGGCCCCGCGCGGACCCGCCGCTCCGCGTCACCCGCGCGGCGAGCCGCGGCGCCGGCGTCGAGATCGGTTCGTCGCCATCGACCGGCGCTTCGATGCGATCGAAGAGCATGGAGGCCATGTTTAGGCGCGCGCTTTGCGTTCTCGCCTAAGTTTTAGCTCTCGTTGAACCGGGGGCAGCATGATCGCGTAATGCGACACGGCTGGCTAGCAGTCTTGATTGTTGCGGCCATGGCGGAGGAAGACTCGTTCACCATTAAACGCTACTACGGCGGCCCGCTTGGCCCCGAGCAATTCTACTTCAAAGCCTGTTTGATCCACATGCCGCTGCAGAAGGAACATGTTGCCGACGGCGGCCTCGAGTTTCGTATTAACATGGAGACGGGGAAAAACACTGCTCGCGCGCCCGTCCAGTTCGACGTCGAACCGGGCTCCGCGCGGCATGCGGAGATCATGGAGCGCCAGCTGCGAGTCATCGACGACGCGGACGAGCGCGTGAACCAGGGCGACGGCGAGAGCGTGCGGCGACGCGTCGCCGCCGCCGCGGCCTGGGGCGACGTCGAGCTCCTCGGTACGCTGCTCCGGACGTGCTACGTCTCCCAGTCGACGGCCGACGCGGTGCTGTTCGAGGTCGCGTCGACGGGCGGCGGCGCGGACGTCGTCGAGCTGCTCCTCCGGGCGGGAGCCAGCGGCGCCGCGCCCCTGGCCAAAGGCCGCACGGCGCTCCACGCGGCGATGAATAGCGGACATGAGGAATGCGCGGCCGCGATCGTCGCGGCGTCGCCGTCGCGCGCCGCAGCCGCAGCCCATGACGACGCCGGCCAGTCGGCCGTCGACCTCGCCCGGGCGAACGACTTCGGCGGCGTCGCGCGGCGCATCGGCGCGGCCATCGACGCGCTGGGCTAGGGTGTGGAGCGTATGTTTACGGGGGAAGGCGGGGGGCGCCGATCATTGGAGGCCGATGATCAGCTCGAGGACCATGACGAGCACGAGGATCGCTATGCACACGTACATGTAGAAGGTCTGCCCGCTGACGGTGATCTGCTCGGCGTGCTTCGTCTCCTCGCGGATGCCGAGCGTCGTCTTGTCGACGTCGCTCTCGAGCTGGTCGAGGAGACCCTACGACGCCGCGCGGTGAGCGCCGCGCGCGCTTGGGGAGCGGCGGGGGCGGTGGGGGCGGCGCGTGCGGGGCGCGCGGCGCGCCCCGGAGAGCGCGCGCGCCGGGGGGAGGGGCGGCCTTTCGGCTCGCCGCGCGGCGGCGGCGCGGCGAGACGGGGTCCGGCGCGCGCGCGGCCGCGGCGGGTCACGCACCAGCTGCGTCTTGGTCTCCTCCTGCATGTTCTGTCCGAGGCCCCGAATCCGGTCCACGCCCTCGCCGAGCCGGGCCAGCTGGTCGTCCTGTGCTTTCATGCGCGCCTACGAAACAGAACTGAGTTGGGGCAGAAATGCGGGGCGGCGGGGACGCCGCCGACGACCTGTTGTTCCTCGACGCGCGACATCGTGGGCATGTGTCAATCGCCCGCCTCCTGGTTCGTGTACGCCGCGCGCGGATGTCGCGGGGCGCCGTATGGGATCACCACAGCCCGAGGAAAAATAGTTGTCGACGCTCGGCATTGCAAACCTCGACCAGACGTTGAAGACGCCGTCCGAGGCGTCGTCGACCGAGGCGCACAGGCCTAAAGTTCTCTAGGGGCTCCAGTGCACTGGGAAGCCGATCCGATGGGCAGCGCCCGACTTTGACGGCCGCGTTCGGCGGCTCGGTCCGCCGGGCGCCCCGGCAGCCTTCGAGCCCGCGCCGCGCCGGCGGGCGATCTTCGACGCGCCGCTCTCGATCTCGAGAGACGAGCACGATTTCGGGGCGAACGGGGCCTCTGGATCCGGGCCATTTCGACGCGTCGAGGGGCGATATGTCGGTCCTGGTGCCAAAAAAACTCGGCCGCGCGCGGGGAATCGCGAAGGTATAGTGTCGCGATGGGATTCCCCGCGCGCGGCCGTGTTTTTATCTCCATCATCACGCGCGCGCGCGTGGCAGCCCCGGCGGTGCGCGTCGAGCGCTCCGAGTGGTCGTGGCGGTCAGCGCCGGGCCCAGAGGACGATCTACGCGGCTGAGGCACTCGAGGGGTGTCTGCGAGGGTCTCGAAGCGGTCGCGGGTGTCCCCAATGCGCGTTTCTCGGGTCGTTGACCAGGTTTGAGCCGCGGCGCGCGTCGTGCTTGGCAGCCCGTCCACAGCCGAGTTTCGGCATGGATGGCTGCTTTTCAGCTTTGGTCCTCCAGAGGACATGTTGGACGGACCCCTGATGCGCTGGGGTCCAGCGGGAGGGTCGCCAGGGGGTGTTTTGGCGCCCACCATAATCACTGTTCATGACTACTCAGAGAGTCCAATCGATCAATGGTCTATAAGTTGACTCATGCAAGAGGCCGGCAGCGAACCACCCCACGACACCAAGCACCACTAACCAACTACCCCTGAGTCGCGACTTGCTCAAAATGAGTGGTCAAAACAGCTGCAACATGGGGTCAACGAAGCCTGTGAACCACCCGTTCTGGCCGATCGGCAGCTGGAGGGCTGCTCGGCCATGACCTCCACACGGTCGAAATTTATGATCGAGCGTCAAAACCACCAGTTTGCTCAAGCTCGAGATCAAAACTGGTCGATAGAGCCAAAACAAGCATAATTCCGGTGGATTCGAGTGGTCTCCAGCGGCCCCAGGGGTACCACCCCCACCACCACCACCACTACCTCACCCCATTTACAGACCACTCATCTCAGATCAGCATGACAGTGGTTAAGGTTGTCTGTGCATACCTCTTGGACTCATGAACTGTTTAAGCACAGTTGATTCGACTGAGCGGAGGGGGAGGTCAAGCGGGGCCAGGGCGTTGTCTAAAAGGCCTGCCGTCGGCCCGGGGGGGCGGCGTCTCCCTCGGCTCTCCCCCACCGACGAGTGCGTCCGTAGATGGCACATGCGTCGGTGTTTTAAGTCGAGGCCCGCGCGAGGCGCGCGGGACTGGACAGCGCGCGCCAGCTCTTCGGCGAAGGCGTAGGTACGGCAGATGATGTCGCCGGGGAAGGTCTGCTTGGGCTCGGCGTAGCCCACGCCGCAGAGGCTGGCGCCGTGGGTCTCGGACGTGCACGCGGTTGCCCTGAAAGCCCGCCGCGCGGCGGCGAGCAATTCGGGCGCCGCGGAGAGTCTCGAGCCAGCGCGCCTCCATGGAGCGCGGCACGGTCGTGCGCCCCCCTCGAACGCGGAAGTCGGCGGCCTCGAGGGTCCGAACCCAGAGATGCCCGGGGGCGCCGAACCAGCGTGCTCGCGCACGACCTGAAGTCGCCGCCGCCAACCGACACTGGATGGGACGGGAGCCGGAATGCGCCACCGTTAAGCCGTGCACGGACAACGTCGCGCCGGACTCCCAGACGAGCAGCGGGCCCGCCATGGTCGGGCCGCCCGGGGGGCAGCGACGACGGCGCGAGCTGCGGCACGGGCTGGCTCTTGGGCTGCTTCTAATGCGCTCTAGATTAGGCCTGTGGCGTCGTCGACGCCAGGGAGCCCCCGCATCTCGATGCTGCACACACCCCTTACGCCGTGACGTACCCGGCCTCCCGGAGGACGTCCCAGACGAGGGGCTGGACCCGCGCGTCGTCCTCCGGCGACCAGGTTCGCCGCCACGCGTGCGCGGCCTCCCGGTCGATGGCCCGCGGCGCCCAGACGCCGTGCTCGCACTGGTCCAGCCACGTCGCCGGGAGGACGCCGTCTTCGAAGCGCCGCGCGTTCTCGACGAGCGGCTCGCGGCGCGGCGCGGCGGCCGGCCGGAGGATCTCCTCCTGGAAGGGCACGCCCAGGAGCCGGCAGACGCGGAGCAACGTCACGTCGGGCGACCGGACGAGGTCCTCGAAGGCGATCTTCGCGTAGCGGTCCCCGAGCAGCGGCGCTTCGTACTCGAGCGCGCGCTCGAGCGACGCCCAGGATCGCAGCGCGGCCTCGAGCGGGACCGCGCCCAGCGCGCTCCCGTTGACCAGGTTCGCCCACGACGAGGATTTCCGCGCCACGGACGCGGCCGCGGCGCGGCCGTCGCGGACGATGTGGAGGAAGCGGGCCTCGGGGAACGCGCGCGCGAGGCGCCCGACGGACGCGGCGTCGAAGAGCTTCAGACCCCGCACGCGCTTTCCGGACGCCTCGGTCGCCCACGAGTCGGCCAGCAGCTGGGCCAGCAGCCCCGCGAGGGCCGCGTCGGCCGCGAGCGCCGCGCCGCCCGTCAGGCTCATGGTCAGCTCCTCCATGGCGTAGCGCTCGCGCGCGCGCAGGAAGACGTTCGCGAGCTTGTGCTCCATGCCCACGTAGACGTCCGGGTGCGCGCTCAGGAGCCGAGCCAACAGCGTCGTGCCCGAGCCGCCGAAGCCGACGATGAAGACGAGCTCCTGCGGCAGCGCGCGGGGGCCGCCCCGCGCCGCCGCCGCGGTCAGGTTCGTCGCGTGCGCGTCGAGCGCGCGCTGCAGCGCCTCCGGCGAGAGCTCCGCGCACGCGAGGAACGACGCGTACGCCGGCGTCGTGTAGAACTCCCGGAACACCGACCGCGTCTGCGCGGCGTTCTTTTGGAGCCCTTGACGCCCGAGCTCGCAGCAGTCGCAGCCGTCGCAAAAGTCGCAGAACACGTCCCTGTCCCAGCACTCTTCCGCGCCCCGGCCGCCGACGGCGGGGTCCATCACGCCGCCCGCCGTCGCCGTCGTGCCGCCGGCCGCCGCGCCGGCGGCCGTCGTCGCTCCGGCCGCCGTCGGTTCTCCGCCGCCGCCGACGTCTGCGAGCGCAGCCGTCGCGGCGCGCAGCGCGACGGCGTATGCGATGGAGCGCCACATATTGCCAAGTATTGCCGGGGGCAGCCTCATCGTGTTAAAGTTTGCCTGCAACAAATCGCCAGGTTCCGCCACTACTCACGAGGATGGACAGCCTTCTCGCCGGCTCCGTCGCCGGCATCGTGGCTGACATCGTGACTCACCCCATCGGCACGATCAAGACGCGCCTGCAGGTGCAGGGCGCGTCGGCGGGCAGCAGCTCGCTGGCGCAGTACGGCTCCATCGGCGACGCGGCGTCGCGCATCCTGCGCGCCGAGGGCGTCGGCGCGCTCTACCGCGGCGTCGGAATTGTGGTGGCCACCGCCGCGCCGGCGCAGGGCCTCTTCTTCGTCGGCAACGACGCCGCGCGGAGCGCGCTCGCGGCGACGAGCTGCCCGTCCGGCGCGTCGAATTTCCTCGCGGGCTTCTTCGCGCAGCTCTGCGGCAGCCTGCTCTGGGTGCCCATGGACACGATCAAGGAGCGCATGCAGGTCGAGGGCCAGATGGCCGCGGGGTCGCGGGAGGCCCTCGGGTCGTCGAGCGCCGCCGCCGTGTCCGCGGTCTTCCGGCGCGAGGGGCCGCGCGGTTTTTATCCGGCGTATTGGATCCACCAGTGGACCTGGGCGCCCTTCAACGGCCTCTATTTTGCGATCTACGAGGCCGCCAAGGAGGCCGCCGACGCCCGGGGCCTGCCCGCGTGGCCCTGCGGCGTCGTCGCCGGCGTCGTCGCGGGCGCGGCGACGAACCCCGCGGATTTGGTGAAAACGCGGCTCCAGGTCGCGCGCGCGGACCCGAAGACGTTCCAGTACGCCGGCGCCGTCGACTGCGCGGCGCAGATCGTGAGGCGCGAGGGGCCCGCGGCGCTCTTCGACGGCGCGGTCGCGCGCTGCGCCACGGTGACGCCGCGGCTCACGATCTGCGTGCTCGTCAAGGACGCGCTCATGCCCCGCGCGGCCGCGCTCCTCGGCCGCCGGGACTAATATTTTGAATTTAGGACGGCGGCGGCTCGTCGTCGAGCGACGACGGCGACGACGGCGACGACGGCGCCGCCGCGTCGTAGGAGGACGCGCGGTGCCGCGGGGGCGCGCGGTGCACGTGGATCCCGTGGAGCGAGAGCGTCCGCTTGATGGTCTTGCCCGCGGCGACGGTCGCGCCGACCGTCGTCGCGAGCACGCCGCGGAAGGACGTCGCCGCGGCGCCGCCCGATCGCGGCAGCGCGCGCGGCCGGCCGCGCCGCTGGAAGAGCAAGGCGCGGAGCTTGGGCACGAGGATCCGCCCCGCGACGCGGTGCGCCAGGCGGCGGTAGCTCTCCGCCGCCGCCGCGTGGACGCCCGGCCGGAGGTCCCGGTAGTCCTCGAGCAGGTGGACGAGGTCCGCGACGGGGACGACGTAGGCCTCCGTGTGCGACTGCGCGCTGCAGCCGTAGAGCCAGACGCGCGCCGCGAAGGCGAGCGCGCAGTCCTCGCCGACCGTCGCGTAGGACGCATGGAAGAACAACAGCTTCGGCCAGGGCACGCAGCGCATGAAGGTGAAGAGGCGGCCGTGCGCGACGACGCGGACGCCGTCGACGGCGTCGCCCTGCGCGAAGACGGGCTCCATGGGCCCGTAGACGGCGTTGACCATGGCCCGCGCCACGGCGACCTGCGCGCCCGTGCGCCGCGCCGGGCCGAACATGGCGCAGCGGTTGAGCGCGGGCACGCGCGCGGACGCCTCGAGCCGGCTCCGGAGCTCCAAGGGCAGATCCGCGAACAACGCGCGGAACTTGGACGTCAGCAGCCGGTTGTGGAGGAAGACGAAGTGGCTCCGCGCCGCGAGCCGCGTGTCGCTGGGCACGCCGTGGCGGTCGAGGTAGCGCTCGAGGATCTTCATCTGCGCCTTCTTGTCCGGGTCCTCGGAGCTCAGCTCCTCCATGACGCTCTTCGCCTGGCCGATGATGACCGCGACGAAGGCGATGCTCACGACGCGGTTGAAGATGAGGAAGATGGACTGGACCGGCGACGGCCGCGCGACGGGGTGGAAGAGGAACGCGCCGTGGCGGTCGAGGATCGCCCAGTGGTACGCGAAGAGCAGCCGCCGCGCGAGGGACCCGCCCCGGAGCACCTGGGGCGGCGCGAAGCGCCGCCACTTGGCGACCTGCGACGACCAGTCCGCCTCCGTCAGCCGCGCGACGCCCCAGAACATGCACGCGATGAAGTGCGTCACGTAGAGCCACGCGAAGACGACGCTGCACAGCCGCGCGACGGCCGGCGTGAGCCAGCCCTGGTCGCACAGGTCGTGGAGCAGGCCCTCGACCCTCAAAATCTTGAGCATGCGGAAGATCTTGAAGAGCTTGAGCAGCCGCAGCACCTTGAAGTCGCGCGAGAGCTGCCGCGCCGTCGCGGGCCGCGCGAACGCGAGCGTGTCGAAGGGCAGGCTCGCGAGCACGTCGACGCAAAACCAGGTCCGCAGGTAGTGGAGCGCGACGAGCCGCGGCTCCATGACGAGCTCGCTGCCCCGCGCGAAGCCCGTGCAGAAGCCCGCGACGATGTCCGCGACGAAGAACAGGTCCGTGGCCACGGCCAGCAGCGAGAACAGGAGCGTCCGCTCCACGCCGAAGCAGAAGACGACGGGGTTCTCGAACATGCACCACATGACGACAGCGCCGACGCAGGCCTGCCAGAGCCGGTGCCGCGGGCCGAGCGGGTGCATGATGAACACCGCGGTCTCCGCGTCGTCCTCGACGGTCGCGGAGAGCCGCAGGATCGCCGCGGACGCGTCGCCCTCGCCGGCGACGGCGACCTTGGCGTGCCGGCCCTCGGGTGGCTTCGCGGCGCCCGCGCCGCGCCGCGGGCAGCAGAGCCGCTCGAGCCAGTCGCCGTCGGCCGCGCGCGCGGCGCGCCTCGCGTGGTACGCGCCGGGCTGCAGTTCCGCGTCGGCGGCCTGCGTGATGACGTGCCACCGCTCGGCCTGGCGGTGGAGCCCGTCCAGGACGCGGTGCGTGGAAACGGACAGCGCGTGCGCGCCCTCGGCCGCGCGGCGCCGCAGCGACGCCTCGAGGTGCCGCGCGTGGCTCGGCCGCCGCCGCCGGTGGCCGTCGGCCGGCGCCGGCGCGTCGATGTCGACGGCCTTGACGTGCTCCGACGCCTGGTGCTTCCAGCGCGCCATGCGGTCCTCGGGCGCCGCGGCGACCTCGACGACGCGGCCGCCGGGCGCCGCGGCCGCGGCCTCGACGCCGGAGCCGATCGACGGCAGCCGCGGCCGCCCGCCGCGCGCCGCCGGCGACGCGGCGGCGTCGCCCGCGACGCCGGCGCCGGCGCCGCTCGCGGCCTGGCTCGCGCGCAGCACGGCGGCGGCGACGGCGCTCCGCTGCTGGGGCGACAGCGACGCGTCGATGTTCTTGAGCAGCTGCAGGTTCGCCGCGAAGCTCGTCGCCGCGGCGTCGAGGCACTGCAGCGCCGCATCGGCGTCGAGCATGGTCTTTTTACGTGGGGCTAGGAGCCACCATCGTGCGCTCTGGGCAGCGCTGCAGCGGCAACTACCAGCGTCAACGACTTGGTGAGGAGAAGTTGATGCGCTGAGAGCGGCGACAGTAGAGAGTCCCGTCTCGCCTCTCAGCGACTCGTCGTCGTCGGGGCGGGCCTGGCCTGATTTACGAGGCGGTTACGCCATGGATGTTCTTGCGCAGCGCGCTCGGAAGGCAATAAAAAGCCATGATGAAGCCGCGCTGCGCGAAGTTTTGCGGAGCGGTCTTCATGTGAATGCGATGGTTGATACCTTTACAACACGTGAAAGGGGTGGACAATGTACTTTGCTGTTTGCGGCTGCGACTCGTGGATTTCACAGACTTTGCGAAATACTTCTCGCTGCGGGAGCTGATGTACATATACCCGAGACAAAACGCGGCGGTAGTCCTCTCCACTCAGCCGCGTATCTTGGCGGCGTGGCCTGCGAGCGTTTGCTTCTGGCGGCGGGAGCGAACATCGATTGTCAAGATATACATGGTAATATCCCGCTGCACGTGGCCTGTCAGCGAGGACACACGCGTACGGCCAAGCTCCTCATCGCCGCCGGCGCGAACACGAACGCAAAAACTCGATCGGGCACCACCCCTCTTCGCGCTGCCCTCCGCAGAGGCCATCGCACACTCGTATTGACGCTTCTTCGCGCCGGCGCGCCCCTCACGGTCTTGCTCTCGAAGCAGATTAACCCAGAGAACAGCGCCCTCCACGACTACATGGTGAGCATCATCGACGCCGGCAGCTGGGACGCGGTTGTTGAGCAGCACCGCCGCCCGCTTATGAGCATCCTCTCCCGCCTCGCGCTCCCGCACGACGCCCTGAGCGTCGTCCTCTCGTTCTGGTCTCCGCCCGGCGGCCACTAACTAAAGTATTTACTTCAGGGAGGCGTTGTACTGGGCCAGGGCCTTGGCGAGGGCCGCGGCGACGGCGGAGCGCTCCTCCTTGTCGTCCTCCTTGCTCTCCTCGTCCGCGGCGGCGTCGCCGTCGCGCATGACGCGCTCGTTGACCGCGCGCTTGCGGTTCGCGAGGTCGATGATGTCGCGGTCGACGGTGTCCTCGGCGACGAGGCGGTAGACGGTGACGGGCTTCGTCTGGCCGATGCGGTGCGCGCGGTCCTCGGCCTGGCGGTCGATCTCCGGGTTGAAGTCGACGTCGTGGATGATGACCGTGTCGGCGCCCGTGAGGTTGATGCCGAGGCCGCCGGCGCGCGTGGATAGAAGGAACACGTCGAGATCGCCCGCGGGGTCGTTGAAGTCGGCGACGAGCTGCTGGCGCTCCGTGATGGGCGTGCTGCCGTCGAGGCGGCTCCAGTTCAGGTCGAGATCGTCGCAGAGGAGGCCCAGGAGGTCGAGGAGCCGGACCCACTGGGAGAAGAGGAGCACCTTGTGGCCCTCCTTCTTCAGCTTCGGCAGCAGCTCGCGGAGCCGCTCGCACTTGGCGCTCTCGAAGAGCGCGTTCGTTCCGAGCGCGAGATCGCCGAGGCTGCTGAAGCCGTCGCCCGACGCATCCGCGTACTCGGCGCAGAGCTCGTGGAGGGCGAAGTCGTCGTAGGACTCGAGCTCCTTCGTGACCATGGCCAGCGTCGCCGCGCCGCCGAAGTGGCCGTTGCCGTGGAGCGTCTTCGCGATGCGCGCGAGCGCGGCCGCGTCGTACTTGTCGAGGCGGAGGAGGAGCGGGTGGTTCGCGGCCTTGCGAAGCTCCGTGAAGAGGTGCTTCGCCGCCGCGTCGCCGAGGCCCTTCTTGAGCGCCGCGCCGCGGCCCGCGACCTGGAGGTAGACGCCGCGCTGCGTCGCCGAGAGCGGCACGGAGACGACCTCGGCGGTCTTCGTCGGCAGCGACGCGAGGACGTCGGCCTTGACGCGCCGCAGGCAGAAGGGCGCCAGCAGCTTGCGGAGCTGGTTGAGCCCCCCCGCGTCGCCCGCGGCCTCGCCGTCGCGCTCGAGCGCCGCGAGGACCTCGGGCAGCTCGCCCGTGACGCCGCAGGACGCGAAGAGCTTGGGCATGAGGAAGAGCAGGAGCGACAGCAGATCCAGAGGCCGGTTCATGATGGGCGTGCCGCTGAGGATCGTGCGGCTCTCGGCCTTGAGCGCGCGGAGCCGCTTCGACCGCTGCGCGTCCGGGTTCTTGAGGTTGTGGCCCTCGTCGAGCACGAGGTGGGTCCAGGGCCCGCGGGACGCGAACCAGGACCGGTCGTCGGCGCAGGCGTCGCGCTCCCACCACGTGTAGGTCGTGAGCACGACGTCCGCGCGGAGCACGTCGCCGTCGGTCCGCAGCTGGCGGCGCTCGGCCTGCGACCCGTGGTAGACGGTGACGGCGCAGCCCGGCGCGAAGCGCTTGAACTCGCGCTGCCAGTTGCCGAGCGTCGACGCGGGCACGACGACGACGTCGCGGCTCTTCCTCGCGGTCCGGCTCCGCGCGACCTGGAGGTACGCGATCGTCTGCACGGTCTTGCCGAGGCCCATGTCGTCCGCGAGGACGCCGTTGGCGCCGACGCGCTCGAGGAGCAGGAGCCAGTTGACGCCGACGACCTGGTGCGGCTGGAGCTCGAGCGCGTCGCAGCAGACGAGGCCGACCTCGGCCGCGTCCGCGGCGACGAAGCCGTCGCCCGACGCCGTCGCCGACATGGCCGCGGACGACAGGGCCCCGCCCCGCGACTTCTCGCCGAGGCCCCGCTTCTTGAGCTCCGCCAGGAGCTTCTCCGAGTAGGTGCCGCAGGCCCGGAGCAGCGCGTCCGCGCGCTTGCCGTAGGCCTCCTCGTCGCTCTCGTCGCCCGACGACGAGCCGTCGTCGTCGTCGATCTCGATGATCTTGCTCTCCGCGAGCTCCGGCGACACGCGCGCGGGCGGCGCGTCGGCCGTGAGGTCGACGACGGCCGGCGCCGCGCGCGCGGCGGGCGCCTTGCGGCCCGGCGCGCCGGCCCGGCGCTTGCGCTCCGCGAGCGCCGCGAGCCGCGCCGTGCGCGAGTCGGGCTTCTCGTAGGCGTCCTCCTCGTCGTGGCCGAGCTCGACGACGTCGTCCTCGTCGCTCGACGACTCGTCGGACTGCACCGACTCCTCGTCGTCGCTCTCGCCGGCGAACGCGCCGCGCTTCCGCCGCTTCGGCGCGGGCGACGGCTCCTCGTCGCTCTCGGCGATGAAGCCCTGCGCCTTCTTCTTCTTCGCCGGCGCCTTCTTCTTCTTCTGCGTCGCCTGGAACTTGGCCTGGTTCGCCCGCTTTGTCTCGTCGTCCTTGACCCGGCTCGTCCAGCCGCCGCCGCCGCCGCCGCCGAAGGCGAAGCTGCTAAAGGGGTTCGTCGCGGCCGCCTGCGTCGGCAGGGGCACCTTGTTCGCGACGGCGCTCTTCTTCGTCGCGCCCGTCTTCTGGGGAATGAGCGAGTAGTCGCCGTCGTCGTCCTCGTCGTCGCTGATCTCGATCTTCCGGCGCCGCTTCGGCGCCGCGGGCGCGTCGTCCGAGTCGCTGTCCGCCGCCGCGGCCGCCGGCGCCTGCCCCCGCTTGAGCTTCTCCGCCTCGTGCAGCCGCGCCGCGGCCTCGTGGGCGCGCGCCCGGAGGTCCTTCTTCTCGAAGAGGTCGGCCGTCGGCAGGCCCGCCTTCGAGATGAGCTCCTTGAGCTGCTTGTTGCTCATGGCCTCGATGAGGACGGGCGGGTCGGAGGCCATGGTCGTTTACTCCCGGCGACCTCGCTCCCGGCGTTTTGAACACCTCGCCACCTCTTTCCTGACGGCTCGACTGGCTGATCGATGGTGCAGGGATGATGCTGCCCCCGCGGATACGTCGCCCTGCCCCACAAAACTGCTTCGCGCTGTAGTCTGGTCTCCGCCACAGACAGCTTGTGGTCGCCGGGTCGCCGGGTCGCCGGGTCGGTCGCTCGCCCCCGGCTCTCCCGGGCGGCCTGACCCGCCCGGCGCGGCGTCCGTCGCCCCGCGCCCGCCCTTCGGCCCCCGGAGGCCCCGGCGCGCCGCCGGCCCTTCGAGCCGCGCGCGCCCCCGGGCGCGCCGGCGGACGACGGCGACCATGGGGTCCAAGGTGGCGGACAGCCACGGCGTGGACAAGGCGCGGAAGCAGAGCGCCCAGGCCAAGCACGCGCCCGCGGGCCTGCACGCGGCGCAGCCGAGCACGCCGATGGACCACGTGCGCGCGATCGCGAAGAAGCTCATGGACAGCAACTACTTCAGCGCCTTCATGACGGTGCTCACGATCTACGCCCTCTTCGGCGACGACATGAAGCTGACGCTGACGGACGTGACGGCCGACGACGGCTTCGTCGTCGCCGCGTGGATCTGCGTCTTCTTCTTCTCGTTCGAGATCGTGTGCAACATCTTCGCCAACCCCCATTACCTCTGGGGCTTCTACTTCTGGATCGACCTCGTGTCGACGTTGTCCATCCTCATGGAGATCCCCATGGTCATGAAGCCCCTCACGGGCGAGATGGGCGGCGCTTCCGGGTCGTCCGCGGAGATGGCCAAGGCGGGCAAGGCGGGCCGCGTGGGCACCAAGGCCTCCAAGGTGATCCGCATCGTGCGCCTCGTGCGCATGGTCCGCGTCGTCAAGCTCTACAAGATGCACAACGGCGCCGACGACGCCATGCAGGACACGTCGCTCGAGCCGAGCAGCGTCGGCAAGAAGCTCACGGAGATCACGACGCAGCGGCTGATCTGCATGATGCTCGTCATGATCATGGCCCTCCCCTGGCTCCAGTCCGGCTCCCTCCTGTCGAACAACTTCAACTTCCAGTACCACTTCCTCAAGCACCTCCACCAGTACCCGCAGAACTTCAACCGCACGGGCGTCGACGGGTCGCCCCTCGTCAGCGAGGCCGACTTCCGCCAGCAGGTGCGCTTCTACGCGCGCAAGTCCTACCAGGACGGCTACCCCTTGCTCTACCTCGAGATCTGCGAGCCCCAGTCGGTGACGGACGTCTACGGCGGGCCCTACTCGTGGGCGAACTGCAACACGACGTGGACCCACGACGCCATCCACGACATGGTCTCCTCCGACTCCAACGAGTGGGGCTCCTTCATGGAGCGGCCCGACAAGGGCATCGGCAAGAACGGCTTCGACGGCGCGGAAACGCGCGGCGAGTCCGTCATCAAGAAGCTCAACTACCGCGAATCCTCGACCGGCGAGTTCTTCCAGATCACCCAGGTCGGGTGCTACCGCGCGTCCGGCGAGGACGACCTCTACGGCGGCATCAAGAACTGGGAGCCCGCGGGCGGCAAGATGCCCGGCGAGGGCGAGCACCACAAGGCCTGGGACATCCGCGTCGAGCAGCCGACGTGCATATCGTTCGCGGTCTTCAGCAACCGCGAGAAGATGCGTTTACTTTCCGGCATGAGCCTGCTGAAGACGCTCTTCATCATGATCATGATCGTCGGCGGGTCGCTGGCCTTCAACCACGACGCGCAGATCTTCGTCATCGGCCCCATCGAGCGCATGATGACGCTCGTGAAGCGCCTCGCGGAGAACCCGCTCGACTCCGCGTCCATCTCCGCGGCGACGATGCTCGATGACGACAAGAAGATCCAGGACCAGGGCTACGAGACCGTGCTGCTGGAGCAGACGCTCGAGCGCGTCGGCCAGCTCCTCCAGGTCGGCTTCGGCGCGGCCGGCGCGGAGATCATCGGCAAGAACATGAAGACGGGCACGGGCAAGCTCAACGCCATGGTCCCGGGCAAGAAGATCACGGCCATCTACGGGTTCTGCGACATCCGCCAGTTCACGGACACGACGGAGTGCCTCCAGGAGGAGGTCATGGTCTACGTGAACAAGCTCGGGAACCTGGTGCACACGGCGACGCACACCTACTTTGGGATGGCGAACAAGAACGTCGGCGACGCCTTCCTGCTGTCCTGGAAGGTCTGCGACGGCGAGATGGACGGCTTCACGAACTTCAGCGACACGGCGACGGAGGCGCAGCGCGTCAAGGCGAACGAGACGATCCGCTGCGTCGCGACGAATTCGGCGCTGCGCGCGAAGAAGCGCCAGATCACGCCGAGCCAGATGGCCGACGCGGCGATCACGGCCTTCCTCAAGTGCCAGATCGACCTCTTCAACGAGAACGTCGACGGCTGCCTCACGTGCTACGCGACGTACGAGGCCGTCATCCGCCGCTTCGGGCCGGGCTTCTCCATCAAGATGGGCTTCGGCATGCACGTCGGCTGGGCCATCGAGGGCGCCATCGGCTCCGAGCTCAAGATCGACGCGACGTACCTCAGCCCGCACGTCGAGATGAGCGACCGCCTCGAGGCGTCGTCCAAAATCTTCCTCGCCAAGCTCAACGTGTCCCACTGGCTCCACAACCTGGCGAGCCCGGGCCTGAAGAAGTACACGCGGCCCATCGCCTACATCCGCGCCGAGGGCGTCACCTGCCCCTTCACGGTCTGGACGTACGACGTCATGTACAACAAGATCGGCTTCGGCAAGCCCACGAGCACGATCAACCCCAAGACCAAGAAGCAGGACCTCACGGACTGGACCCACCCGGAGTACACCGAGATCCAGGAGGGGCTCCACGCCGACTTCATCGAGACGTGGCTCAAGGCCTACTCCGCCTTCGTCGAGGGCGACTGGCCCGCCGCGCGGCGCACGTTCGACGCGGGCATGCGGCTCAAGCCCGAGGACGGGCCGACGCTCTACCTCCTCGGCTTCATGGACGCCAACAACGACACGCTGCCGGAGAACTGGGACGGCGCCCACTTCCTCGACGGCTTCTAGGCGCGGCGCCGAGCCCGCGCGGCGCGCGCGCCCCTCAGCTTCCCTCCCCCCCACACCGACCGCGCCGCGCCGCGGCCGCGCCGGCGCACCGCCGCCTCGCCCAACCGCGCGCCCGGCGCGCCGCGTAAGAATCCCGTTTTCTTTTTTTCCTCGTTGACCTTTACATTGACGGCAAAAGTTTTCACTTGCGATCTCCGGGCCGCGTGGGCTGCCTTCTCTCGATGGGCGGAGCATCGATGCCACGCTGGCTGCGCGCGCTCCTGCTGGTCGTTGCCGCGCCGGAGGACCGAGCGGTGGCCGGGAACGCGACGGCGAACGGCACCGCGGCGCCGAGCCGGGCGCCGGCCGCGGCACCGCCGAACGGCACCGCGGCGCCGAGCCGGCCGCCGGCCGGGAACGCGACGGCGGCCGGGAACGCGACGGCGGCCGGGAACGCGACGTACGCGCCGAGCCTGGGCTGCTCGTCGACGCACGACGCCTGGGCGTGCCAGGTCGCGAACGGGACGGCGTTCGCCGCCGACGCGGGCTGCGCCGCGGCGCCGGGCGATGGCGCGTGCGCCGCGGGCTTCGAGTTCGTCGCCGGCGGCGACGCCGGCGGCGGCCGCCTCGTCACGCGCTGCTTCTTCGGCGCGGCGTGCGCGTCGGGCTGCGACGTCGACGTGTGCTACGAGTTCCACTCCCGAAAGGGCCGCGATCGGGACCCGTCGTGCTGCGCGCTCGAGGAGCGCGCGTCCTGCCTCGAGGGCTACCGCTACTCCCGGGGCGCCGTCTGCGAGAAGCGCCTGGGGTGCACGTCCTACGCGACGTGCTGCGCGCCCTGCGCGCCCGGCGAGCCGTGCGAGTCGAGGTCGCCGATCTTCGGGCAGACCGCGTCCTGCGCGAACCTCTGGGGCGTCTTCGTCGTCGGCGCGTCGGTGGTGCTCGTCATCCTGCTCTGCTTCATCTCGTGCTGCTGCTTCCACTGGCTCCGCTTCCACTGGTGCGGCCGGCCGGCGCTCGCGCGGCACCGGCGGCAGCCGCCGGCGGCCCAGCCGCGGCGCGCGCGCGGCTGCGAGCTCGTCGTCGCGTCCGCGACGGCCGTCGACCTCGCGGCCGTCACGGTCGTCGACGAGGGCGGCTTCGACCCGGACGTGCCCGTCGCGAGCGCGGAGGAGGTGCGGCCCGTGAAGGCGGCCGTGCGCCCCGTCGCCGGCTAAAGCGGACTTAAAGCGGCCTTAGTCGTCGAACGCGGACGCGCGGGCGGCCGGGACGCCCGCCTCGGGGGGCGCGAGGCCGCCCTCGAGGACGACGCCGTCCATGGTCGTGAGCGGGACCGCGGCCGCGGGCGCGTCGTCGGCGACGTCCGTGAGGTCCGCGCAGGCGCAGGCCGTCACGGCGGCGAGGTAGTCGTCGTCGGCGTCGCCGGTGCCGCCGCCGCCCGCGAGGCAGACGACGTTGACGCCCCGGTCGCCGCGCGTCGCGCGCCGCATGTTCTGGGGCTTGCGGAAGGCCTTGGTTTCGCGCGCGAGGCGGTCCGCGAGGGCGGCGCCGTCCGCGGGCGCGAAGAGCAGGTCCCAGAGCGGCGCGGGCGCGCGGACGCGCCAGTGCAGGATCATCATGCCCGTGCCGTAATTGCCCGTGTGGTTTTCGACGAGCTCGAGGGTGCCGCGGCGGCCGTAGGTCTCGAAGAACAGCTCGCCGACGAGGTCCGCGACGGCGTCGAGCTGCTGCGCGTGGAAGCCGCGGCTCAGCGTGAGGAAGAGGTCCGCGTCGCCGGTCCCGAGCATGCGGCAGGCGAAGAGCTGGCGCACGGTGCGTTCGACGGCGAGGCCCCAGCGAGCGTTGAGGTCGAGCCAGACCGTCTTGACGGGCCGCGCGGGCTTGGTGAGAGACGCGTAGGCGTCGACGAACTCCTGGGCCGTCGCGCGGTAGACGTGGCCGACGGCGACCTCCGGCGCGGCGCCGGCCGCGCCGCCGCCGAACGTCGCGCGCTCCCGCTTCATGAGCGCGTCGAAGTCGGGCCGGTTCGGCACGTGGATCGCGTCGTAGGGCACGCCCGCGCGGATGAGCAGCGACGTCGTGTTGAGGTCCAGGCCGTCGAGGACGAGCACGTCCGTGCCGTGCTCCAGGGCCGACGCGACGACCCAGTCGTTGTGCGACCGCTTCACGGGGTCCTGGCTCCGCTCCACGTGCGGGTATCTACGTCGGCCGTCGTCGCCGGGCGCACCGCCGCTGGGCGGATTCCGGCCACCCATGCTCTCTTGCGGCAAAATGAGGAAACAAGGCGGCATCATCACCCTCTCCGGCTGCGTATGAGCCTCGCCGGCTGCGTCTAGCCGCGAGCATGAGCCTCTTTGGCTGCGTCGTCGTGGGCCCGCCGGGCGCGGGCAAGAGCACGATGTGCGCGGGCCTCTGCCGCTATCACGCGCTGTCGAAGCGGCCGGTGGCGCTCGTGAACCTGGACCCGGCCTGCGAGGGCGAGGGCCTGACGACCTTCGCCATCGACGTGCGCGACTTCTGCAGCGTGGACCGCGCCATGGCCGAGCAGGGCCTGGGCGCGAACGGCGCGCTCCTCTTCTGCATGAAGGAGCTGGAGCAGAGCACCTGGCTCCGCGACGAGGTCGAGAAGCTGGCGGTCGACGAGTGCTTCCCCTACGTCATCTTCGACCTGCCGGGCCAGACGGAGCTCTTCACGCACGACGGGAGCCTGCGGCGCATCCTCGACGACCTGAAGCGCACCTTCGACGCGCGGCTCGTCGCCGCGCACCTCGTCGACGTCGCGCACTGCGGCGTGCCGAGCCACTACGTCGCGGCGTGCCTCCTGTCGCTGACGGCGATGCTGCGCCTCGAGCTCCCCCACATCAACGTGCTGAGCAAGGTGGACCTCGCGGACCGCTACGAGCTCGCCATGAACCTCGAGTTCTTCAAGGACGCGCGCGAGCTGCACCGCATCGTGCCGTTCTGCGGCGTGCGGCCGCGCGCGCCGGAGCCCGTCGCGGGCGACGCGGCCGCGGGCGACGCCGCGCGCTACAACGAGCGGCTCCAGAAGCTCACGGGCCGCATCTGCGAGCTCGTCGACGACTTCGGGCTCGTGTGCTACCAGCCGCTGGACGTGTCCGACGGCGACTCCGTCGCGCGCTTGGTCCGCATGCTCGACAAGGCGAACGGCCACCCGGCGGGCGTCCACGCGCCCGCGGCGCTCGTCGAGGACGCGACGGACCTCTTCCTGCTGCACAAGGGCGGGCGGCCCATGCCCTGGGACCCGGAGTCCGACGACGCGAAGCTCGACGACCGCGTCCGCGCGTTCGCGGACGCGGACGAGGCGGCGCGCGCCGCGCCGCCGCGGGACCGCACGTACCGCACGCACGCGCCGCGCGCGCCGGCGGCGAGCGGCGGCGGGGAGGAGGACGGGGCGTTCTCCTGGTACTCGTAACGGTGTCGCGGCGTGAGGCGCGAGTCGGAGGGGGCGGCGACCGGGTCGCCTTTTCAAAGGCGTCGGCGTCCCGAGAGCGTAAGCCCGTCCCCTGCATTCATCGAAGAAGGCGCGATGAGGCGTCGCTCGTAGAGAAACGAAGGTCGAGAGGGCCTCTAAGAAACTTCAACGTCAACTTTCCCCGATGTTGACGGTCTGTTGACGATCGATTTTGAACGATCTGAGAGCACCGGGAGCGCTCCGCCCGCGGCCGCGTCTTCGCCGCGTCTTGCATTCGCCGCCTTGCACCGTCGGCGCACTTGCGAGCGCACTCGTCTTGAAGATGACCGCCATGGACGTGGAGGAGGTCGAGGAGCAGCAGGACGCGGGTCCCAAGTTCGACGCGGACCTGCTGCGCATGTACTACGCGCGGCTCTTCCCCTACGAGCAGATGTGCAAGTGGCTCGCGTACCAGCCCCACGGCGACGCGTCGACGCCCGTGGGCACGGGGTCGACGCTGGCGAAGCGCGAGCTGTCGCTGACGCTCGCGGACGACGTCTACATCCGCTACCAGTGCTTCGGCGACGCCAAGGCGATGAAGGAGCTGATGACGAAGCGCCAGCCGCACAAGATCGACATCGGCGCCGTCTTCAACGCGTCGCCCAAGGACCACCTGAGCATCAAGAACTTCCGGCCCGAGGAGCGCGAGCTCGTCTTCGACATCGACCTCAGCGACTACGACGACGTGCGGACGTGCTGCCAGGGCGCGACGGTCTGCCGCAAGTGCTGGCAGTACATGACGTGCGCCTGCCGCGTCTGCGAGTCGTCGCTGCGCGAGGACTTTGGCTTCGAGCACATCATGTGGGTCTACAGCGGCCGGCGCGGCGTCCACTGCTGGGTCGGCGACGCGGAGTCGCGCAAGCTCACGAACGAGGCGCGGCTGGCCATCATCAAGTACTTCTCCGTCGTCGGCGGCAACGAGAACTCGGCGAAGAAGACGGACCTCCAGGCGCCGCTCCACCCGTCGCTCGAGCGCGCGTACAAGCTCCTCGAGCCGCTCTTCATCAAGCACGTCATCCCCGAGGACGGCCAGAAGCTCCTCGCGAGCCCCGAGCACTGGTCCAAGCTCCTCGCGACGCTCCCCGAGGACATCGCGGACCAGATCGCCAAGCACTGGGCGCGCGCCGGCGACGCCAGCACGCCCGCGCAGAAGTGGGACGCGCTCAAGGGCCTCTGCGCGTCGCCGGACCGCGGGTCCTCCGCGAAGAAGCAGAAGCGCGCGCAGGTCGACGAGCTCTGGAAGTACGAGGTCGTCTTCACGCACTGCTACCCGCGCCTCGACGAGAACGTGTCCAAGCACCGCAACCACCTCCTCAAGTCGCCCTTCGCCGCGCACCCGAAGACGGGCCGCGTCTGCGTGCCCTTCGACGCGAAGCAGTGCGCGGCCTTCGACCCGACGGCCGTCGTCACGCTCAAGGACCTCGCGAAGCAGATCGACGCGTCGACCGAGGACGTGCCCGACCTCGAGAAGACGGACCTCAAGCACGCCGTCCGCTTCTTCGAGAAGAGCTTCATCGACCCGCTCCTCAAGTCCCTCCACAAGGGCCAGCGCGACGAGAAGGAGCAGCAGGCCGCCATGGTCGGCGACTTCTAGGCGCGCCGACCCCCCCTAAGCTACGCGGAGTTCGCTACGCGTCGCGACTTACGGCGACCTCGGGCGCCTCGTGCTTGCCCCGGTTCTCGTGGACGACGTCCAGTGCGCCGAAGAGCTCGCCGAGCATCGTCGTCGCGTAGGCGCCCGCCGGGAGCTGGAAGGTCGCCGTCAGCGTCTTCGCGCCCTCATCGAGGGCGACGTCGAGGCCCTCGGCGCGGACGGCGAGGCGCCGCGCGCCGCCCCGGAGGCGCTCGCGCTTGAAGTCGTCCTCGGCGACGCCGTCGCGCGCGAGGACCGCGGCCGCGGCGCGCGCCGCGGCGCCCGCGCCGAGGACCGTCCGCGACCCGACGAGGGGCAGCGCGAGCTCGCCGCCGTCGAATTCGTCGCCGGGGAGCGGCGCGTCGAGCGGCCCGGCGTCGAGCCGCGCGGCCGCGGCGACGTTGAAGACGTAGGACTGGTACGCGTGGAGCCAGAGCGTCCGCGCACGGTGCGGCGGCGCGGCCGCCGCGGCCTCGCACGACGCCGTCCGCGCGTAGGCCACGGCCGCGTCGCGCGCGGGCGCGTTTCTCGGGAGCGCGGCGGTGAGCTTCTTCGCGGCGCCGCGGTCGAAGGCGCCGGCCGCGACGGCCGCGCGGACCGCGGCGAGCGGCGCGTTCGTCGCGAAGTCGCCGAGGCACGACCTGGGCAGGAAAAGGGTGATTCAAGTTCGCTTCAACGTGAGTGTTCCGCGCGCGCGCGTTCCGGAAAAAGCATCCATGCTTCGAGACCGTTCCGAGAGATGACCGCTCGTCCAAAAATCAGCCGAAACGAGTGGAAAACGGCCGAGAAAGGAGCCTTTGAAGTTGGGAATTTCGCTCTCTTTTGCTGCCCTGGGCAGGACGCGCACGCGAGCAGGAACGCCTCGCCGTGGCGCCGCGCGAGCAGTGCCCGGCCGATTTGCCACGTCGGAGGAGGGACGTCGCCGCCGCCCTCCTTGCCGACGCGCTGCGTGCCGAACGCGTTGAGGAACACGGGGTTCCGGCGGAACGCGTCGACGAGCGGCGCCGCGTCGCCGGCGACGTCGCGGACGACGACCGCGAAGCGGTTGCCCCGCAGGTCGCCGGGCTGGAGCATCTTCTCGACGACGTCGACGGGGTAGAGCGCCGCGTCGGCGCCGATCTTCGCGGGCGTCTCGGTCGTGAGCGCCCAGCGCAGCGCCGCGATCGCGTTCCGCGACCGGCCGATCTTAACGGTGACGAACTGCCAGGTCAGCGCGCGCTTGTCCTTGACGCCCGCGGCGGCGACCGCGCCCACGGGCGCGCGGAACTGCTTCGTGAGCGACTTCATCAGCGACAGGCTCTCGACGTTCCGCTTCCGGAGCACGCAGCGCACGACGAGGTCGCCGTCGTCGCCGTCGTCGTCGTCGTCGTCCAGGACGACCTCGCGCTTCCGCTTTTTCGCGGCCTTCTTGGCCTTCCCGCGCTCCTTCTTCTCGGCGCGCCACCACACGACGATCCGGCCCTCCCTCGTGCTTGTGTCCGCGCCCTTGACCTGCTTCCCGATCTCCGTGTGCAGCGCGCGCCGCGCGCCCCTGTCCCGCGGCGCGGCGACCGCGACCGGGGGTTGGGTCTGGTCGCGCGCCTTGGCCCAGGCCGCGAGCTCGACGAGGTCGCCGCGGCTCAGGAGGCCGCCGAGCGCCGCGAAGCGCGCGTCGACGGCGCACGACGCCTCGGGCGCGTCCTTGGAGATCTGGAACGCCGTCGCGGGGAACCGCCGCGCGAGCGAGCGGTAGAGCGCGGGCTTGGCCTCGTCGTCGACGACGGCCGCGAGCGCGACGACGGCCCCGCCGACGGCGTCGACTGGGGCGACGCCGGCGAGCGCGTCGAGCGCGCGCGCCTCGAAGGCCGCCGCCGCCGCGAGCGCTTCGGCGGGGAACGCGGCCTCGAGCGCCGCGGCCTCGAGCGCCCGTCGCGGGGACGTTCGCGCTTCCGGAGCGGCCGGCGCCTCCCCAACTTCCTCCATTGGCGTCTCCTTAACTTCCTCCGTTGGCGCCTCCCCAACTTCCTCCGTTGGCGCCTCCTCCTCAACTTGCCCGTCCTCCATTGGCGTCTCGTCCGCGGGCGCCGCCGGCTCGGCCGCCGCAGCCGGCGCACCGTCGCCGTCGCCCGCCGGCGCGCGCGCCTCCTCCGCGTCGTCCGCCGGCGTCTCGGCGTCCGCCGCGGGCGCCGCGTCCGGCTCGGCGCCTCCGGACGGCGCGGTCTCGTCCACGCGGCTGCGCTTCACGAGCCGCGCCTCGTACGCGGCGAGCGCCTCGAGGAGGGCCGTCGCATCCCGAGGAGCCGTCGCCGCCGCCGAGGCGACCTCGCCGGCCAGAGAGACCTCGTCGACGACGAAGTCCTCCGGCTCCACCTTGAGCCTGCCGGAGAGAAGCTCCTCGACGGCCTTGCCGTTGCAGCGTGACCTCGGGCCGAGGCCGCAGGCGGTGGCCATGCTCACAAGCTGGCACCCTCGGCTTCAGCATGCCCTCCGAACGCCCTCACCACGCCTCCCCACGCTCGGAAGGAGGCGAAGCGCGAGAGGCATTCCTCCCGGCGCCTCCCGCGACGACGACGACGGCGGCGTGCCGACGAGCCGCGCGGTCCGCCGCGGCTCGCGGTTCGCCGCCCGTCTCGCCGCCGCCGCCGCGCCCGCGGCCAACGCCCCCGCCGGCCCGCCCGCGCCGCGCCCGCACACCGCAGAAACATCATCTTGCGAAGGTTGCTTTACGATCGGGGCCGGAGACGCGCGCCTAGTAGTCGTCGCCGCCGCCCTCCTCGGCGCCGAACATGTCCATGCCGCCGCCCATGTCGATCTCCTCCTCCTCTTCCTCCTCCTTCTTCTCCTCCTCGGCGGGCGCGTCGCCGCCGCCGCCGCCGCCGCCGCCACCGCCGCCGCCGCCGCCGCCGCCGCCGCCGAACTTGGCGAGCTTCTCCTTGCCCGCCGCGAGCACCTCCGCGAGGTCCTTGCCCTCCATCGACGAAATGAGCCGCCCGAGGTCCGCCTGGTCGACCTCGACACCTGCGGGGCGACGCCGCGTGGGCCCCCGGGCCGCCGCCGCGCGCGCGCGCCGCGCCCCCGCTCTCTCTCTCGTTTTCGCGGCGCTGCGCCGCACCGACGGCCTCGAGCGCCGTCGTCACGTCGGCCGCCGACGGGGACTCGTTCCCGCCGAGGACGAGCATGAGGTAGGTCGCGACGTACTTCATCGTTGAGCTGTCGGTCTCGTTGGCCGCGTTGTCAAGCAAGCGCAGCTCCTATACGAGATCGTCGCCGAGAGCGAGAGCGAGGCTCGACGGCAACTTTGGCCTGGGTAGGCCTGGGGTCGATCAACACTTCAATAAAACACGCTGCCCCATTTCCGTGCATCGCGACGTCATGACGGCCGGGGCGGCACGTTTGAGGTTTGAGGTTTGGAGGGTTGGAAAATCCTTGGTTTGCGTTTGAGACTTGTCGACGCCTCATATACGCCACAAGGTTTGGGTTTGGAGCTCTCTCGTCGGGAACTCTGAGCCACAGAAGTTTGGAGTTTGGAGCTCTCAGCCACAGAAAATTCGAGGTTTGCGGCTACCAGAGAGGGGCCCCTAGGCAACGTTGCGTCTTGCAGACGCGGCCGAGACGCGGGAGACGCGAGTTCCGGGACGCGGCAGGACGCGGCCAAGACGCCCCGGGACGCGGCCGAGACGCGCCGGAGACGCGGGACGCGGCCGGGACGCGAAAAAAAAGACGCCAGAGACCACCCCAGGACCGAACCCACGACCACGAAAGACGACCCCGGGACCGAAGCCAGACCCGCGGGACGCGAGAGACGCGCGAGAGACGCAGCCCAGACGCGGGACGCCGGCCCAGACGCCGGCCAGACGCCGCCAGACGCGGCCGAGACGCCCCAGACGCGGCCAAGACGCGACTTCCGAGACGCGCCGGAGACGCCGGAGGACCTGGCGGAGACTGCCCGGGGACTTAGCGAAAGACGCCCAGACCGCGCGTTGCCTAGGGGCCCCTCCAGAGAATCTTGGTTTACGTTTAATTCTCTCAGGCCAAACGTGCCGCCCGGGCTGTGTCATGGCTCGCAGGAACCAGCCCGCCGAGGCCGACCCGCTCCTCGGGCCCGGCGAGAAGCAGTTCGCCGTCGTGAAGCAGCAGCCCCAGCCCTGGACGCACCTGCTGCGCACGAAGCGGCGGCGCAAGTGCGCCTGCGTCGCCGTGGCCGTCGTCCTCCCCTGCGTCGTCGTCGGCATCTACTACGCCGTCGCGGACGTCGAAGAGAGTTTAGACGACGGCGCCGAGCGCTTCCTCGCGTCGCCCTACAACGTGACCTGCTCCGAGTACGACGACGACGTCGTCTACTCGGCGACGACGTGCAAGAGCCAGGACTGGGGCTTCTGCTACAAGGGCGACAAGACGTTCTCCGTCGACGGCGCGGCGTCCGAGGACGACGACGCGACGACGGCGTCCTACACGACCTGCGTCAACGGCACGGCCTGCTACGACTGGTGCAACGTGGCCTGCGAGCAGGGCTGGGGCGCGTACTGCGTCTGGGACATCTACGCGAACTTGGAGGCCGCGTGCGCCGGCAACTACACGCCGGTGTCGCCGGGCCGGCGGCGCCTCGCGGTGATGAACTTCGGCGGCGCCTGCGCCTACCACGCGCGCTGCGAGGCCTGCAACGCCTCCGAGGCGACCTGCGACGACGTCTACCACCACTACTTCTACTACGACTGGAAAGACGACGAGTGGGACGCGTACTCGGGCAACCCCCAGGCCGCCGCGGCCCTCGAGCCCGACGTCTTCGCGACCTGGTGCGCCAAGTACAACCACACCTACGCCCGGCGATGACAAGGCGCGCGTCACGTTCGCGGGGCGGATTAACTGCCTTTTTATCGACACACACACTTACGACTTCGACGCGTAGAGCCAGTCCCAGGTCATGCCCAGGAAGAGGCCGTGGGCCCGGGCCTTGTCGAGGGCCTTCCGCCGCGCCGCGGGCGCGGACGCGCGGCAGCGGAACGCCGGGTCGAGCCACTGGTCGTCGCCGTAGGCCGCGAGCGCCGCGTTGCGCTCCCTGAGCCAGGGCAGGAGGTCGCCGTGGGACACGACGTCGAGGATGCCCGCCTGGAAGAGCTCGTCGCGGAGGCTGTCGACGTTGACGTGCGGCGCGCGGCAGTTCTTCGACGGCTTGAACATGTCCGGGTACTCGGCCGCGAGCGCCGCCGCGGCGGAATCGAGCGCCGCGCGGACGTCGTCCGACGCGCCGCCGGCCTCGAGGTCCACGAGGGCCACGGGCTCCGCCTTGTTGATCTCGGCGAAGAGCGCGTGCACGTCGCCGTCGGCGAGCGGGCCGTAGACCTCCACCACGATCTCCGCGAGGCGCGGCGGCAGGCCCGCGTCCGACGCCGCCAACAGCCAGGCCGCGCCGAGGCGGTGCTGGCCGTCGACGACGGCCGCGACGTCGTCGCCGACGGTCTCGACGACGGAGATCGCGCCGGGCCAGCCCGCGGGCGAGCTCGACTTCGCCTTGGCGATCTCCGCCGCGCGGTCCTCGCGGAACGCGCGCTGCTTCTCCCAGAGCCGCGTGCCCGTCCAGAGCGTCCGCGGGTCCGCGCGGTAGAGCCGCTTGCCGCCGAACGACGCGAGCAATTCGCCGAAGACCGCGTGCGTCTCCTTCTCCGCCGCGTCGCCGTCGAGGAGCGCCGCCGACGCGTCGCGCACCAGCGCGGCGGCGGCCTTGGCCTCGTCGCCCCGCGCGCCCCGCGGCGTCTCGCGGAGGTCCGCGATTTTGGCGTCGCCCGCGGCGGATCGGAGCTCGTCGCGCACGGACTCGAGCTCCGCGCGGACCGCGCGGACCTGCGCCCGCTGCGCGTCCGCCTCCTCGCGCGTCTGCCGCAGCTTTGCTTCGAGGTCCTTCTTCTCGGCGACGTTTTTTCGGGCGGCGGCGGCCTCGGCGGCCGCGGCGGAGGTCGTGGCGGCGTCGACGACGGCCTTGCTCTGTGCGGCCTGCAACGCTTGCTCGTGGACCGCGGCGAGCTGCTGCGACGTGCGCAGCTCCTCCGTGAGCTTCCTCACGGCGGTCTTCGCGACCTGGAGCTCGCTGCTCGACGCGGCGCCCATTGTGCTTGAAACTGAGGGCAAACTGGCGCGTTGAAGAGCTTGTTGAAGAGGGCTTTGAAGGCGCGCGTGAAGCCGATGACTGCCTCGTCCATGAGCGCCACGCCCTCAGCGGCGACGGTGGCGACGTGTTGGTTGTCGCGGAGTCGAAGCCGCGGATATCGTAGCCGAGCGCGGCGACTGGGAGCCTCTCGAAACTGGAGGGTAACTTACTAAGTTAGAGCACGTGTAAAGAAATATTTGACGCCACCCCCATTTAACGCGGCGACGTGACTCTGCTTGCATTCTTGGATCAGCGTTGACGCAGCCGCAGCGTCGATGCAGTCGCCGCGCGTCCATACCGGGCCCGTTCTGGACCATTTCCTCGTCATCGTCGACGTTCGAGCACGCGCCCTTCGACCTCGCAGCCGTCGGCTGCGTCGGGGAGGTGGCCAGCGCGACTCAACTCCCCGGCGCGATTCGCAGCGTCAGGAGCGTGCGCGACACGAGCGTGCGCGACATGCAGCTGACGACGAACAGCCACAACGGTGGGAGACGAGGCTACGCGGACTCGCGCGCGTGCGCGCAGCGGCGCAGCGGCCACTGCGTGGGACCGTGCGTGGCGGCCACGCAGGCCGGCCGTGCTGAGACAGCTCCGATTCGTCGAACGGACGCTGCAGCCATGGCGCGGCGCGCGCCGCTGCTTCTCGGCGTGTTCGGCAGGCCGACGCTGAACTCCTCTCGTCTTGTTGCCCTGCTCTCCTTGCGATGGTCTCGCTCTCCGTGCCAGCGCTCTCGACGCTCGTCGCAGCCGCCGCGCTGCTCGTCGCCAATGCGGAAGAAATCACAACCTTACCCGGCGTCACGGGCGGCATCCCGTTCAAGATGCACAGCGGCTACGTCGACGTCACGGACGACAGCGACGGCTCGCGCCAGCTCTTTTTCTGGTTCGTCGAGTCCGAGTACAACCCGTCGACGGCACCCGTGCTGCTCTGGACCAACGGCGGGCCCGGCTGCAGCGGCCTCGGCGGCTTCATCAGCGAGATGGGCCCCTTCGTGCCCCACGCGGACGGGACGCTCGGCCGCCGCGACTACGCGTGGAACAAGCTCGCGAACATGCTCTTCATCGAGCAGCCCGCGGGCGTCGGCTTCTCGACGGGCGCCATGGACTACTACGACGACGGCATGGTCGCGAGGGACAACGCGAACTTCGTCGCGCGCTGGCGCCAGCGCTTCCCGGACTTTGCGGGCCGGACGCTCTACCTCACGTCCGAGTCCTACGGCGGCCACTACCTGCCGACGCTGGCCTTGGAGCTCGTGAAGCGCGGCACGCCGAACTTCGGGGGCTTCGCCGTGGGCAACCCGCTCACGTGGATGCCCTACCGCGACTACGGCCAGTGGGGCACCTGGGCCGCGCACCAGCTCCTGCCCCTGCCGCTCTGGGAGAGCTACCTGGAAAACGCCTGCGCGCCGCCGCGTCTCGACGCGCGCGCGCGTTCCGGACTCTGTTTCCGCAGGCGACGTCGACTGCCCGCCCGAGGACCCGCACTGCGAGCCGAACGCGACGTGCGTCGAGCTGGAAGACACGTTCTCGACGCTCGTCGAGGCCGCGGATCCCTACGCGCTCGACTTTCCCACGTGCCTCGACGGCGCGAGGGCCGCGGGCCGCCGGGAACGCCACGCGCTGCTCTCCGCGGTGTCGTCGGCGCCGCTCAAGGCCTACGAGCCCTGCGCCTCGGACTACGGCGCGGCCTACCTCAACGACCCGAAAGTCCGCGCGGCCATCCACGTGTCTTCGAACGCGACGTGGGGCGAGTGCTCGGACGCGGTGTCCGCGGCCTACAACTTCACGGACGCGGCCCGGCCCATGATGCCCGTCTACGACGAGATCTACGCGCGCGCGCCGCACCTCAAGGTCCTCGTCTACAGCGGCGACGACGACTCCATCTGCGCGACGATGGGCAGCCAGAAGTGGATCTGGTCCCTCGGCCGCGAGGTGCTCGACGAGTGGGCGCCGCGGCTCCTCGACGGCCAGCTCGCGGGCTACACCGTCAAGTTCGAGGGTCTGACCTTCGAGACGATCCACGGCGCGGGCCACATGTGCCCGGCGACGCAGCCCGCGCGCACCTTCGACGTGCTGCGCGCGTTCCTCGCGTCCTGAGGTTTGGGTGCTGTTCTCCATTTTACGAGCGCGTTCGCGCGAAAATGGGCCTCTGGCCTCGGGCCGCGCTGGGGCGGACGGGCGGGCGGGCGCTCTTGCTTGGTGCTTGCTGCCGCGCTTAGCGGTTCCAGCACTTCATCTTGCGGACGTTGGAGTAGACCCACGGCGTGGCGCCGTCCGGGTCGGAGGACGTCTTGACGCGGACCTTGGCCTTGGTGTTGCACGGGGCCATGATGATCTGGTAGAAGCGCTCGTCCTTCTCGTCGAAGTAGACGCGCGCCTCGTCGACGCGCTTCCACGTCTCGTCGGCCTGCGTCTGGAACTCGACGACGAACTGCGACGCGTCGCCGTCCTCGTAGGTCCAGGACGCGACGGCGAACTTGCCGACCTTGCGGTGCATCGTCAGCTTCACGTCCTTGACGGGCGGGAACGGCTTGAGCGTCGGCTTCGGCGTCGGGTTCGGCGTCGGCTTCAGCGTGGGGCGCGACGTGGGCTTGGGCGTGGGCTTCTCCGTGGGGCGCGACGTGGGCTTGGGCGTGGGCTTCTCCGTGGGGCGCGACGTGGGCTTGGGCGTCTTCTTGGTCGGCATCGGGCTCGGCGCCGCGGTCGGCTCGAGCCAGTCGTCGTCGAAATCGTACGAGTACGAATAGGAGTACGCCGAGTCGTCGTCGTCGTCGTCGTCGTGCTGCCACTCGTCGTCGTCGCAGATCCACGTGCACAGGTCGCCGCCGTGGTAGGCCTCGCAGCGGTCCTGCGTCTGGAGGAAGCCGTCGAACCACTGGTGCTGGCACTCGCCCGAGGGGTCGACGCAGCAGGGCTTCTCGTTGCCCGGCGTCGGCTTGGCCGTCGGCTTGCGCGGCTCGTCGTCGATGGGGGTCGGCTTGGCCGTCGGCTTGCGCGGCTCGTCGTCGATGGGCGTCGGCTTGGCCGTCGGCTTGCGCGGCTCGTCGTCGTCGCAGATCCAGTCGCAGAGCCCGTCGTGGAAGGCCTCGCACTTGTCCTGCGTCTGCAGCTGGCCGTTCCACCACATGTGCTGGCACTCGCCCGTGGGGTCGACGCAGCAGGGCTTCTCGTTGCCCGGCGTCGGCTTGGCCGTCGGCTTGCGCGGCTCGTCGTCGATGGGGGTCGGCTTGGCCGTCGGCTTGCGCGGCTCGTCGTCGATGGGGGTCGGCTTGGCCGTCGGCTTGCGCGGCTCGTCGTCGTCGCAGATCCACTCGCAGAGCCCGTCGTGGAAGGCCTCGCACTTGTCCTGCGTCTGGAGATGGCCGTTCCACCACATGTGCTCGCACTCGCCCGACCGGTCGACGCAGCAGGGCTTGTCGTTGCCCGGCGTCGGCTTGGCCGTCGGCTTGCGCGTCTCCACGGGCGGCTCGTCCGCCGACTCGTGGACGCACTCCATGAAGTGGGCGGCGTCGACCATGCCCGCGCCGAGCTTGCCCGCGTAGGCGCCGTTGTCGGGATCGATGTCCATGGCCGTCGTGTAGAGGCAGTCGAGGAGCACGTCGTTCGCGATGGTGGGGCTGAAAGACTTGCCGAGCGCGAGGACGCCGGCGATGTGGGGGCAGGCCATGGACGTGCCGGACGCGTAGCCGTAGGACGTGCCCATCATCGTTGAGTACACGCTCACGCCGGGCGCGGAGATCTCGATCCAGTCGCCGTAGTTGGAGAACGACGCGCGGACGCCGTTGTCCTCGACCGCGGAGACGGCGACCGTGCCGGAGTAGAAACCGGGGTAGTAGTCGCTTTCGCTGTTGCTGTTGCCCGCGGCGAAGACGACGATGCCGTTCACGGCGTTGTAGTAGTCGATGGCGTCGAGAATCGACTGAGCGACGTAGCCGGGGGAAGTGTAACCTAGGATTGAATGCGTCGGTGATTGATCACCCGGTCAAAGTCTCTCGAAAATAACGTCACGGACGCCGCGTGGCACCCCACGAGTTCGACGAGATCTGCGCGCCCATGTCCGCGCCGTAGAGGAGGGCCTCGGCGAAGCCGCCGGTGGCCGTCTTGCCGAAGCCGACCGAGATCATGAGCTTGGCGCCGGAGTTGGCGGAGCCGTCGCCACCCGCGACGCCCGCGACGCCGACGCCGTTGTTCGAGTCGGCGGCGATCGTGCCGCCGCAGTGGGAGCCGTGCCAGTGGTTGCCGAGCAGGTCCGTGCCCGTGTCGTCGGCGTGGTTGTAGCCGTGGCAGTCGTCGACGTAGCCGTTGTTGTCGTCGTCGATGCCGTTGCCGCAGATCTCGCCGGGGTTCTTCCAGATGTTCATCTGGAGGTCCGGGTGGGACATGTCGATGCCCGTGTCGAGGACCTGGACGACGACGTCGGCCGAGCCCGTGGAATAGTCCCACGCTTGTTCCAGCATGATGGCCGGGTAGTGATCCTGAGTTGAGAGCGAGGGGTCGTTGGGCGTCCAGAGGAGCTCCTCGTTGTACTCGGGCTCGACGAGCGCGACGCCCTGCTGGTCGTCGCTGTCGAGGAACTTCATGAGCGCCTCGAAGGTCTCCTTGGACGCGGCCGCGCCCTTGCCGCACTCGACTTGGTAGTGCAGGTCGAGGCCCGCGGCCTTGTGGCCGCGCTCGAACTTGCCCGCGTCGCGGAAGACGCGGGTGGGGGCGGCGTCGCACTCGAGGATCGTGGCGACCTTGTCGGCGACGGCCGCCGCGTCGTCGCGGTGGTCGTCGTCGATCTTGAAGAGCACGCGGCTCGAGAGCTTGCCCTCCTCGGCGTCCTCGGCGATCTTGGCGACGTCGAGGCGGTCGGCGAGGCGGCGGTTGCCGCTGAGGGTCTTGGCGTCGCCGGAGAGCAGGGCGAGCGCGAGGAGAGCGGACTGAAGTTTGGAGGCCATCTTGTTGAGAGGTGTTGCTTGAGTGTGTGTGTGTACGGGTGAGAGAGGTGGTGCGCGAACGCTTGCTGGGTGGCGTCGAGATCGCCTTGTGGGTAGAGCCTAAATTTCGACGAATGAGCCCGCGTCGTGGCACAGCGGGCCGGAGAAGGGCGGGAGGAAGGCAGGGGGAGGCGGAGAAGCGCGGAGAAGCGCGGAGGGCCGCGCGCGCGCGCGGCGCGTCCGACTCACTTGGAGGCTCTGCTTTGACTTTTGAGGAATGAGGAACCGGTTCCCGGAAAATCGAGTTCAAGCTACCTCAACATGCAGTGGCGCGCACCGGTCTGGACGTTTGCAAGGCGGGGGCCTGCGCCCGACCACTTAGTCTGTGCTATCTTTACAGTGTCGCGGCCCCTCGGCGTGGTTCGGGGGCCGGGCGTGGGTCGTGGGTGCCGCCTTGCCCGTCCGTCTGGAGACGGACGGGTCTGGCGGGTCGACTCCGGCTGCTTGCTTGCGCGGGGAGGGCGGCTTACCAGTCCCAGCACTTCATCTTCTTGATGTCGCTCTCCTTGGGCTCGGACGCGATCGCGCCGTCGTCAATAGACGCGCGGGCACGCGCGGTCCTCGGGCCCGGCACCGCGCGCCCAGCCGGCTCTCGTGTGACGCTAGCGCTCGCAGGTTCTAGCAGGCTTTAGCCGTGCGCGCGTTGCCCGGGCCCCAACTCTAATAGTCCATCTCGCCGTCCGAGTCGCCGTCCGAGGGGAGATACTCGTCGATCTCGCGCTGGTCGCGTCCGGTGATCCAGCGGACGCCGTCGCGGCAGGTCGCCAGCGTGCCGCGTGCGCCCGAGGGCGAGACACCCACAGTGAACTCATCAATGGTGTTGCTGCAATTCAATTCGCCGAAGAGATGAGCGAGCTTGCCCATCGCGGTCTGGAGGTCCTTCAGGCGCGGAAACGGGTCTTCCTTTGGGCAGAAGTCGTCGAAGAGAAACGCGAGGTGCGCGATCGCGGTCTTCGAGATGACCAGGCGGAGCCACATGCGCTCGAAGCGCTGGCGCGCGACGAGGCTACGGAGAAGGTGCGAATCGGCGGCAGTGTCGTCGAGCAAACGCATCAAAGGCCAGGGGACGCCGAGCGGCTCGAGCACCAAACGCACCGGCGATCCCCGAAGCAGCTCCCACTCGGCGTCCGACTTATGGTCCTCGTCCCACTCGTCGTAGTCGGGGTACCTCAGTTTAAGATCCGCGAAAAGCACATCATTCAAAGCTACGAGCTCGACAAAGACCATTCGCATGAACTCGCGGAACGACTTGGCCGGCTGAAGATTTCCGTGAATGTTCATCACGCGTAGCTCTAGATCGTCGTCGTGCTGCTCGGCCATTAGAGTGCCCTTGACTCTGAACGGCAGCCGCGCGTGTTGCGCCGGGGTGACGCGAGACCGGCTTTGCCGGGAAGCGATCACCCGGTCGACCAATTGTCGCGTCGACATGGGAGCGTCGGGCACTGGCGAGGCGCTCATTGAGCCCGTGGCTTGGTCACTCGCGGACCGGAGGCGGAGACGCAGCCAAAGCGTGGGCGGGGGTGCCTGCATGCGCGACGACGCGCGCGCTCTCGGAGATCGGTGCGAGGTCTCACGACTTGGCCAGGCGGGCGCTCCGGCCGGACTCCGGCCGGCGCTCTGGCGCTATAGCTCTAGGCACAAGTCCGCACGACAGACCTCTCGAGTTGCTTGGGGGCGTCTTACTTCCGCAGGCGTTCGTATCTTGGGGGGGAGGGGGAACGCGGGCGCTACTCGCGGCACTTCATCTTGAAGATGTCGGAGTAGGCCGGGGCGGAGTCGCCGTGATCGACGGCCGTCACGCGGACGCGGCCCTTGGTGAGGCACGGCGCGTGGATCGGCTGGTAGAAGCGGCCGTCGACCTCGCTGACGTAGGAGCGGCCCTTGTCCACGCGGGTCCAGGTCTCGTCGTGGTTCGTCTGGTACTCGACGACGAACTTGCGGCCGTCGCCCGACGCCGTCGCCGCGTGCGACCAGCTCGCGAGGGCCTGGTCGCCGGCCTTGCGGTGCATCTTGACCTTGAGGTCCTCGGGCTTCGGCGGCGGCTCGTCGGGCTCGACGGACGGCGGCGGCGTCGGCCGCGGCGTCGGCCGGGGGTCGGCGCCCTCGCCGACGCACGCGACGAAGGCCTCCGCGTCGACGAGGCCCGCGCCGAGCTTGCCCGCGTAGGCGCCGTTGCTGCCGTCGACGTCCTTCGCCGTCTCGTACATGCACGCGAGGAGCTCGTCCTTGGTCGCGTCCGGCGCGACGCTGAGGCCGAGCGCGAGCACGCCCGCGACGTGCGGGCAGGCCATGGACGTGCCCGATGCGTAGCCGTAGGCCGTGCCGAGCTGCGTCGAGTAGACGCTGACGCCCGGCGCGGAGATCTCGATCCAGTCGCCGTAGTTGGAGAACGACGCGCGGACGCCCGCGTCCGTGACCGCCGCGACGGCGATGGTGCCGTCGTAGTACCTACGTCGACGCGCGCTCGTCGCGCGCTCTCGCGAAAAGGCGTCGGACGCGGGATCGCGAACGCCGGGTAGTAGTCCGAGGCCGAGTTCTGGTTGCCCGCGGCGAAGACGACGATGCCGTTCTTCGCGTTGTAGTAGTCGATGGCGTCCTTGATGGACTGCGCGATGTAGCCCGGGCCCGTGTAGCCTACCAAGCACGTCGGTAACAATATTTGATCGTTTTCGCGGTCAAAATCTCTCGAAAATCGTCGCGGACGCCGCGTGTCACCCCAGGAGTTCGACGAAATCTGCGCGCCCATGTCCGCGCCGTACGTGAGCGCCTCGCCGAAGCCCTTGACCGCCGTGTCCCCGAAGCCGACCGAGATCATGAGCTTGACGCCCGAGTTCTCGGACCCGTCGCCGCCGGCGACGCCGGCGACGCCGACGCCGTTGTTCGAGTCGGCCGCGATCGTGCCGCCGCAGTGGCTGCCGTGCCAGTTGCTGCTCACGAGGTCCGTGCCCGTGTCGTCGGCGTGGTTGTAGCCGTGGCAGTCGTCGACGTAGCCGTTGTTGTCGTCGTCGACGCCGTTGCCGCAGATCTCGCCCTCGTTGCGCCAGATGTTCATCTTGAGGTCGGGGTGCGACATGTCGATGCCCGTGTCGAGGACCTGGACGACGACGTCGGCGGAGCCCTTGGTGACGTCCCAGGCCTCGAAGAGGCGGATGGCATCGTAGTGGTCCTGCGTGTTGAGCTTCGGGTCGTCGGGCGTCCAAAGGAGCGACTCGTCCATCTCCGGCTCGATGAAGAAGACGCCGTCGTGGTCGTCGGAGTCGAGGTACTGCATGAGGTGCGCGAACATCTCCTTGGAGGCCGCGGTCTTGTCGTCGGACGAGCCGCCGCACTCGACCTGGTACCAGCGGTCCAGGCCGGCCTGCTTGTGGGCGGCCTCGAACTTGCCGGCGGACCGGAAGATGCGCTCGGGGGACGAGCCGCAGTCGAGGATGGACGAGACCTTCGCGGCCACGCCCGCCGCGTCGTCGGACGACTCGAGCTGGAAGAGCACGCGGGAGCCGAGCAGGCCTTCGTCCGCGTCTTCGGCCAGCTTGGGCAGGTCCAGCTGCTCCGCGAGACGCCGGCGGCGGGCCGCGGAGACGGTTGTGAGAAGGAGGGAGATGAGTGAAACCTTCATGACGAAGGGGGCGACCGTCGGGACGGTCGCTTGCTTTTTGGCGTTGAAGGCCTTGCGGTTGTCGACTTCGCTCGACCTGCGGGGTAGGGGCGTTCGGGGAGCGGGCGTCGTCGGGTCGACGCGCGATCGAACGAAAGAATTGATAAACGACGTTCTCGGAGAGGGCCGATGGGCTCGCCGGTGCCCGGGCGCCCCCCGCTAGCCCCACGAACGCCACCGGAACACGACGGACCGCGGGGCTCGCCGCATCTGACGAACTGACGAAGCGCAGTTCTTCGCCGGCGAAATCGTCGATTCTTCGGGAGTTCTAGGCCACATTGCCCCGTTTTTTTTTCAGGGCTTGAACCCAGGGGTGCCACCGATCGAACGCCCACACGAACGAACCCCCCGAACCCCCTGACAGCCTGAAATCAATCAAAGACGCGGGACCATCACCTCGATGCCGGGATGGCCAGGATTGCGTGAGAGAGAGAGAGAGTCGATTTTGGCCGGGGTCGCTCGACCGCTGAAAAGAGATTACTCCCCCCCACCCGCCAACGGCGGGCTCGGCGCCCGGGACGGCGTCCGCGACGCGGCGTCCCGTTCCTGCTCCTGGGCCAGGAGGATCTGGGCCGCGACCGCGCGCGCGGCCACGTCCGCGCGGGACTGCTCCGCCATGCGCGCCAGCAGATCCGCGACCATGTGGTGGCTGCGGAGGTAGTAGGTCGCCTGGCTCAGCTTGATGCCGACGATGCAGGAGAAGGTGAGCAGGGGCAGGTCGAGGCCCGGGTGGCTGTCGTCCGCGGCCGCGGCCGCGGCCGCGGCGATGGACTCCATGTCCGGCGGCGGCGGCGGCAGCGCGGGCGCCGCGGACGCGGACGACGGCGAGCCTACGAGGTGCGAAGATGTTTCGTCATCGCCGAAATCTCTCGAAATGCGTGTTTCGAGGCGCGCGGCCTCGAGGCGGTGCGGGGGCAGGCGCGGGGGCAGGGGGGACGCCGAATGCTCGCTCGGCTCGACGACCTTGACGTCCGGCACCAAATCGTCGTCGGACTCCTCGCCGACGCGGTCGAGGGCCGGCGCGGCCGCGCGCGGCCGCGGCCGCGGGATCGCGTCGATCGCGCGCGCCGTCGCGCGCGAGAAGCCGAGGAGGTTCTTCTCGACGGCCTCGCGCGTCGCGACGCGCCTGGGCAGGAAAAGAGAGATTCAACGTCGCTTCAACGTGAGTGTTTCCCGAAAAAGCATCTACGCTTCGAGAGCGCTCCGAGAGATGATCGCTCGTCCAAAAATCAGCCGAAACGAGTGGGAAACGGCCGAGATCGGAGCCTTTGAAGTTGGGAATTTCGCTCTCTTTTGCTGCCCTGCTCCGCGCGCGGCCTTGTCGAACTCGCGGCGCTGCTGCTCCGTCGCGGCGCCGCGCGACGCGTAGGAGATGTAGAGCGGCGTCGCGCCCGGCGGCGGCGGCGTCGCGGACCGCGCGGCGGCCCGCAGCCGCGTCGACGACACGACCTCGCGGCGCGCGAGCGGGTCGTCGTCGGCCTTGGACAGCTTCTGGTTGAGGGCGTCCCAGACGGTAGAGTGCCACTGGGCGGGCGGCGGCGGCGGCGGCGGCGGCGGCGCGAGCATGGACGCCTGGATGGCCGCGAACGACGCGCGCGGCGCGCCCGACCGCGGCGGGCCCGGGTCCGTGAGGTAGGACCCGGGGGGCGGCCGGGGCCCGCCGGTCCAGGCCGGGTCCGCCGCGGGGCGCTTCGCCTTGGCGGCGCTCGGCGACGCGAGGGGCTGCTTGTTCGCGGGGCTCCGCAGCTCCTCGCGGTGCGCGGCCGTCACGGCCGCCGCGGCGGACTCGAGGCTGTCGGCCTTCTCCGGCGCGGGGAAGCGCAGCGCCCGCGACAGGGCGAGCGCGTTGGCGTGGAGCGCGCGCGTGAGCATGGCCGCGTTCGACCTACGACGCACGGCGATAACGATGTTTCGTCGTGAAACCTCTAAAAAAACCGTCACGACCACAGGACACTGCGTTCGACATCTTCTTCTCCGGCGCGGGCGGCGACGGCGTCCGCGCGGGCCGCTCCGGCGGCGCGGCGGGCGCGGCGTCGTCGTCGTCGTCCATGCCCGGCGGCGCCGAGCTGCTCCGCGCCTTGCGCCGCGCGGGCGTCGCGGGCTGGCTCCGGCGGACGACGTCGCCGTCGTCGGCCGCGCGCCGCGCGCCGTCCGGCCCCGCGACGGAGTCGCTCAGCGCCCGCCGCCCCTCGAGCGGCTCGCCCTCGTGGCGCAGGTCGTCGGGCTTCGCCTCGTTCAACGCCGTGAGCACGTCGGGCGCGTCGCCGCCGTGCAGGTCCTCGAACTCCGCCAAAAACGTCGACCGCTCCGCGCGCTGCGCGCCCGGCCGCGGCGTCCGCCCGCCGACGAGGGCCCAGCAGGCCGACGCCGTCGTCGGCAGGTCCACGCGGCTCCAGTCGCGGCCGTAGCGCCGGCGCATGGCCTGGAAGAGCATGGCCGACGGCGGGAAGTCGCGCCGCGGGTTGAAGTTCTGCTTCGCGGCGAGATCCGCGCGGCGCATCGTGTCCTGGAGCGCCGGCGGCGCCTCGCCCTCGGGCCGCCGCCCTTTCGGCGCGCGGGGCTGGAGCTCGCGGCCCTTCAGCACGCGCGCGAACTGCTCGAGCACGGCCTCGTCCTGCGCGGACTCGCGGTCCAAAGCGTGCAGGTTGCCGCCGGACGAGCTCCGCGGGGGCCGCGCGGCCGCCGCGCCGTCCTCGAGGCCGTCGCTCGACGCGCGCGCGCGCCGCGGCGACGGCCGGCTCGCCGGCGGCGCGCCCGCCGGCGGCGTCGACGGCCGCAGGTCCACGTGCGACTTGCCGTCGAAGACGCCGCGCGGCGCCGACGCGAGGCCCTCGAGCGTCTCCGAGACGGCGCGCCGGGGGCTCTCGGACCGGCTCCGGGCCTCGCCGCCCCGCGGGCTCGACGACCCGGAGCGCGACGCCCGCGGGCTCGGCGACGAGTCGCGGCTCCGCGCGCGCCGCGCCGGCAGCGTCAGCGGCAGCGACCCCGCGATCTCCTCCTCCTCCTCGTCGTCGTCGTCCAGATCCTCGCCGGCGTTGAGCTTGGCGACGCGCGCGCAGAACTCGTCGAGGTCGAAGGGCGGCGGCGCCATGGACTCGAAGATCTCCTCGTCGACGAGGCCGTTGCCCGACGCCACCACTAAGACGTAGTCCACGGGCCGCACGTAGGCCCGCGGCCGCGACGTCGCCGCCGTCGGCGCCGTCGGCGCCGTGTCGTCGTCGTCGTTGGCCAGGCGCAGCGACCGGTGCGCCGCGCCCGGCGACTCCGGCGACTCCGCGGCGGGCGCCGCGTCGTCGTCCGGCGGCGCGGGCGACGCGGGCTCCGACGGGAACGCCGCGGGCGCCCGCGAGTCCTCGTCCCGCAGGCGCCGGAGCGCGAGGTCCAGGACGTTGGGCACGCTCAGGCGCATGGGCCGCACCTCGATGAACTTGTCGCCCGAGAAGACCGACAGGGGCACGTGCTTCGCGAGCTCGCCGAGCGCGACCTGGAGCTGGCGCGCCTGCCAGGCGCCGTGGTTGAGGTCGCAGTCCCGGTAGTGCCAGGCGAGGCCGCTCTCCTTCTTCTCGACGACGGAGCCCGGCGTCCGCTCCGTGTAGTACTCGATGAGCGGCGCCGCGTCGTCGGCCCACGACATGTCGAGGTCGAAGTCGCTGACCTGCATCTCGAAGGGCTCGTCGCCGCGCCAGCGCACGCTCAGGCCCTCCTCGGCGGCGAGGGCGAGGTTCACGTGCTTCTCGGCGATGGGCGCGAAGATGCGGCTCAGCGCGTCGGCCGTCCGCGCGCTCAGCACGACGACTAAACGGTTGCAGTCGTCGCGGCAGAGCGCGGCGATGTGGTCCAAGGTCCGCTCGCCGACGTCGATGAGCTCCGACAGCGCCGTGGGCTTCGCCAGGACGCCCTCGAGCTCGAAGACCACGAGGCGCCGCGACGTCTTCGCGTAGGGCTGCAGCAGCTGGGGCACCGTGAGCTCGCGGCACAGCGTGCGGCTCGCCTTGGTCTCGGACGCCTCCGTCAATTGATCGAGGAACCGCTTCGCCCAGGACCGCGCGGTGAACGTCGACACGTACTGGAGCATGTGCTCGTGCGCGCGTCTCCGCTCGACGCCGCGCGCGCGGAGCGACCGGCTCCGCATGGGCGCGTCGCCGCGCGACGTCGCCGCCGCGGGCTCGCGCTCGTCGTCCGTCGTGTCGTCGAGCTCGTCGGCGGAGGAGTCGTCGTCGGACGCCTCGCTGTCGGGCCCGTCCTTCTCGTCGTCGTCGTCGTCGTCGTCGTCGTCGTCGTCGTCGTCGTCGGCCTTGCGGTTCCGCCGGCTCGCCTTGGCGTCGCGCGCGTTGCCCTTGCGCGCGCGGCAAAATAAGCGGTAGAGCAGCGTCGACAGGCGCGCCGTGTCCCAGGGGTTCACGAGCACCGCGCCGCCGAGCGACCGCGCGCACCCCGCGAACTCCGAGAGGAGCACCGCGCCGATCTTCTCGTGGGCCTCGCGCGCGACGAGGTACTCGAAGGGCACGACGTTCATGCCGTCGCGGATGGGCGTGATGACGAGCACGTCGGCGAGGGAGAAGAGCGCCGCGAGCGTCGCCTCGCCGGGCATCGCGCGCGCGTCGGCCGCGAAGTACTGCACGGGCCCCTCGAAGTCGAGCGTCGCGTACTGCGAGTTGATGCGCGACACCATGGCGTGGAGCTGGCGCTCGAGCGTGCTGAACAAAGCCCGCGACTGGAGCGCCTTGGCGGAGAAGGAGTTGTCCGCGAGCTGGAGCTGGCGGCCGCCCTTGTCCTCGCGCGCCTTCGCGTCGCTCGGCTTCCGGCTACCGGGCTCGCCCATCCCAAAGGGCTTCGCGTGGACGTTCCCAAAGGCCGGCCCCTGCTCCGCGTCCTGCGTCGCCGCGCCGCCGCGCCCCAGCACGACCTGGACGAAGACGAGCTCGTCCGCGAGCTCCGGGTGGCGCTGGAAGAGCTCCTCGAAGGCCAGCAGCTTGTGCACGAGGCCCTTCGTCGGGTCCAGCGTGTCGACGCCCAGGAACAGCGTCCGCCCCGCGAGCTGGCTCTCGAGGCGCTGGATGGCGGCCAGCGTCGGCGCCGCCGTGGACCGCGCGACGACGGACGACGGCTCGATGCCCACGGGGCAGACGCAGACGCGCGTCTGGTGGCCGTCGTGCTCGATGCGGTCCGGCGACGTCTCGATGCCCAGCACCATCTCGCAGGAGCTCAGGAAGTGGCGCGCGTAGTCGTAGGTCTGGAACCCCAATAGATCCGCCGCGAGCAGCCCGTGGAGCACCTCCTCGCGGAACGGCAGCGTCCGGTACAGCTCCGACGACGGGAACGGCACGTGCAGGAAGAAGCCGAGCTTCGCGTGGGGGCTCAGCGCGCGGAGCATGGACGGCAGGAGCATGAAGTGGTAGTCCTGGATCCAGATCAAATCGCCGTCTGCGGCGACGTCGCGCACGGCGTCCGCGAACGCCTGGTTCACGGACACGTACGCGGACCAGAGCTGCGCCTCGCCGTCGTCGCCCCAGGTCTCGTCCGGGCTCAGGCACCGGCCCGCGACGGGCGGCTGGCGCGCGCGCATGACCGTGTCCTCCGTCGTCGGCGGCGAGCTGTGGAAGAGGGGCCAGAGCACGCGCTTGCAGAAGCCGTCGTAGAAGAGCCGCTCGCGCTTCGGGTCGAGGAACACGGGCGCGTACTTGCGCTCGCGGAGGAGCCGCTCGCGGATCTCGCGCTGCTCGCCGACGCTCACCTGGGCGTTGATGGGCGACCCGACCCAGACGACCTCGCGGCCGCTCTGGCTCACCTGGCGGAAGTTGCTCAGCGCCTGGTCCATCGTGTCCGGCGTCCGCTTCCGCTTCGTCGGCCCGATGGGCGCGTCGCGCGGCAGGCGCCGCGTGACGAGGATGACCCGCGGGCCGTCGTGCTTGTCCGTGGAACCGGCGGCGTCCTGCGTGCGCCGCTCGCGCAGCTCCTCGAGCTGAGAGTAGAGCGTCGTGATCCGGTCGAGGATCTCCTCCTCCGTCTTCTCCTTGAGGGGCGGAGCTGCGGACATGATGTATGTGTTTGTCTAAACTTAGGCGCCAGGTGCGTGTGTCTTTGTCTAGGGCGCCAGGTGCGTGTGTCTAGGGCTCTCGCAAGGGGTCGCCAGGTGCGTGTGTCTTTGTCTAGGGCGCGCGCATCAGGGCGCCTGAGCCATGGACCATCGTCTCCTGATCTCTTGTCCGGGACCGCAGAGCACGATGGATCGGTGAAGGAGCGTCGCAATGAGACGTTTCCTCACGCTGCTAACATCAGCCACAGCCCTCCAGCAGGCCTGGCGCGTCGGCGAGGAGGTGCTGGGCCCGCGGCGCGTCGCGCGCGCCCTCGAGGTGCGGCGCGCGGGCGAGGCGCGGCGCTGCGCGGCCCTCGAGGCGGAGCACGCGCGCCTCAGCGACGCCATCGCCAAGGTCCTGAAGCACCGGCGGCGCATCCACACGTCGGCCGCGGAGCTCGCGACGATGAAGAAGGCGAAGCTGCTCATCAGCGACGAGCTCGCGGCGGCGGCGCACAACGCGCGGCGGTCGCGGGACGCGCGCGTGCTCGGCGCGGGCGCCTGCGGCGAGGTCTACGCGGCGTCGCACGCCGAGAGCGGCCGCGCCGCCGCCGCCAAGGTCGCGCGCGCGCCGCGGGCGCGGCGGATGCTGCGGCGCGAGTTCGAGCGGCTGCGGGCCGCGCGCGTCGCGTGCGGGCCCGGCGTCGTCGAGCCCCTCGCGTTCCTCGACCGCGACGACCGCGCGTGCCTCGTCCTGGCGCGCCTCGGGCCGAGCGTCGACGACCTGTTCTGGGCGACGACCTGCGGCACGGGCTTCTCCGGCGGGACCGTCCTACGGGTGGCGGCGCCGCTCGTCGCCGCGGTCGCCGACCTGAGCGCCGCGGGCCTCGTGCACCGGGACTTGAAGCCGGCGAACGTCCTCGTCGACGACGGCGAGCCGGTCCTCATCGACTTTGGCCTCTGCGCGGAGCGCGGCGCCGTCGGCTCCAGCGAGGAGACCTTCGCGGGTACGGCGCGTTTCGCGTCGGCGAACGCGCTGCGCGACGGCCCCGCGGTGCCCGGCGACGACCTCGAGTCGCTGGCCTACACGATGGCCTATTTACTGTGCGGCACGCTGCCCTGGAGCGCCGAGAGCGAGGCGACGGCCGACGACGTCATCGACGAGGCGCGCGCGCTCGCGGATCAGAAGGACGCCGTCGAGCCCGGCGAGCTGGTCTCGGGCGTCCGCGACGACGACCCGCTCTTTGGCGTTGCGGCGGACGTCTGCGCCGACCTCCTCGCCGAGGCGCGGCGGCCGGAGCCGGACGCCGCGCGCGCGGCCGCGTCCATCGCCGCGAGGCTGCCGCGGACGCCGCCGCCGCTGGACTGGGTCGCCGCGGGCGTGGCCTGGGACGCCGAGGGCGTGCTCCACCTGCCGGGCTACGATAGTTAACGCCGGGGTACGATAGTTAGCGGGCGGGTCTAGCTCCCGAAGCTGCCGGTGATGGCGAACTGGAGGCGCTTGACGAGGTCGCACTGCTGGGCCCGGAGGACCCAGGCGTAGTTGAGCTCGAGGCGGGCGAAGTTGGCGGGCGCAAAGGAGAGGCCGACGCCCGCGGCGGCGCGGGTCTCGTGTGCGAGGTCCTTGGCGAGGGCGCGCGGCCCGGCGTAGAGCAGGTCCGCGTCGACCAAACCGCCCGCGTTCGCGAAGACGTGGCCCCGCGCGCCCTGCGCGCCCGGCGCGCCGGGGAGCGGCGCCGAGAGGAGCGCCGCGGCGGCGTAGAAGAGCGTGCCGCCGGTGGCCGCGCCGGCGAAGGGGAGCGCGTCGTCGTCGGTCGTCGCCTCGGCGGCGTGCGGGTCCCACGCGTCCGCGGCCGACTCCGCGGGCGCGGACGGCGACCGCATGTCGCGCCAGGCGCGCAGCAGCACCGACGGCGCGCGCTGGGGCCGGTCCGCCGCCGCCGGGTCCAGGCCCGGCGGCTTCCGGGCGCCGACGCCGCAGCGGTCGAAGCCCCGCAGCGCCGACGGGCCGCCGAGGTAGAACTTGTCCGGCTTGTGGAGCGGCAGCGACGCGCCGTTCGTCGGCGGCGCCAGGGCCGTCGCGATGGGCGGCACGTCGCTCACGTCCTTGAAGATGTTCTCGCGCAGGAGGAGCGGCAGGCCGACCATCGCGCCGACGCGCGCCGCGACGGACGCCGCGACGAACCCGTTCGCCGTCGCCGCGAGCCGCGCGTGCGCCTGCGCGCCGGCCTCGGCCTTGACGAAGGCCGCGTCGCCGAGGCCGCCGACGCCGGCGACCTCGACGCGGTGGTGCGCGGCGGCGCCGGTCGTCGGCGCCTGGGGGACGTCGCGGCTCTCCGACGAGCCGCCGTAGCTCAGCGACCACTTGTCGCTGAGGCTGCCGTCCTGGAGCCCCGCGCGCCGCGACCACTCGGCGAACCAGTTCGCGCCGAGGCTCAGGCGCGCCGCCGTCGTGCCGAGCTGCTGCGCGCGCGTCTCCGCGGCGCCGGGCGCCCAGGGCGCCTCGCCGGCGCCCTCGTTGAACGCGGCCTCGAGCACGCGGCCGCCGGCGACGCGCTTCTTCAGGGACACCTGAATCTCGTGGTTCTGCTGCGTCGACTGGTTGAGCGTCGCCGTCGCGAGCTCGCCGTGGCCCAGCAGCGACCGGAGCGTCGCGGACGACTCGAACGTGACGTCGTTGCCGTTCGTCGGCGTCGTCGTCGCGCCGACCTTGAGGGCGTAGGGCTGCTTCTCCGCGACGCGCACCGTGACCTTGGCGGCCGTCGCGCCGGGGTGGCCCTTGTCCTCGCGCAGCGACGCGCTGACGCTCGAGAAGAGGTCCGTCGCCTCGAGGGCCTTGACGCCACTGTCGACGGACTTGAGCAGCTCGCCGAAGGTCCGCGTGTTCTGCTGGAACGCTTCCGTGATGACGTAGGGGCGCGTGCGCGTGAGGCCGACGACCTCGACGCCGGAGCAGGTGCAGGGCTCGGCTGAAATGTCCATGCTCGCTCCCTGCGGCAATTTATTTCTGGCCTGGGTCGTGCCTGGCCCGACGGCGTCCGATGGCCGACGCGCTCCCCGTTCTCGGCACGGACGTCCGAGCGCGCGCAGGGGACCTGCTCGCAGCGCCGTAGGGGCCTAGTAGGGGCCGTCGCCGCCGTCGCCGCCGCCGCCGCCGGTGGAGCCGCCGGAGAGGCGGCCGCCGAGGCTGCCGCGGCGCCGCCCGGCGCGAGGCCGGCGATCTGGGTCTGGGACTTGTTCGCGAGCATGGCGAGTATCTGCTCGTAGGACATGCTCGTCAAGCCCCCCAAGTCCGGCGCCAACGCCGACCGCATCATGTCCGTGTCCAAGATCCTCACGGGACCCCCCGGAGACGATGTTGGACCAGTACCTCTCGAGCCCGGACGCAGACGCGGCAGGCGCGCGTGGAACCCAAGCGCTACGAGTTGCCGGCCGAGACGCGGCGGTGCATGTTGGTGTCCCTCATCCTCATGAGCATGGGTGCGCTTTTCCTCCTCAAGGAGACCGCTTTCATGCTAGCCAGCAAAGGCATGCCCGTGTCGAGCCACAAAGTCGCCCGCTTGGACAAGGCTCGACGCGAAGGAGCTCGCGACGCGCGTGGCGAGAACGAGCAAGTCGGACGTTTCGCCGCGCCGCGCGCGCGCGCGTTCGCCGCAGGTTCCGGCCGAGCTCACCTTGCAGCACGCTTGAACCATTTAGCTCGGGCCTGCCGGCGCCGCCGCCGTCGCGCTCGTGCTGCGCGCGCGCGCAGCTCCAGACCGCTCCGGAGCGCACGCGCGCACGCAGCCATGGCCTGGGAAGCCATGCTCCAATCCCTGGCCCACCCGCTGCTGCTGCGCTACTGGAACGCGTGGACGACGTCGTCGTTCGCGCTCACGCTGCTCTTCGCGCCGTCGCTCTTCGTGCGCGTGCCGCTCGCGTGCTTGTGGGTGCTCATCAGCGGCGTTCTCGCCCTCGCGCAGGGCTGCTACGTCGTCTACCAGCTCGTCATGATCGGCTGCGCGCTGAGCCTGCTGACGGTGCTCCTGACGCTCCGGCAGGCGTCGACGCTCGCGAACCGCTTGTTCATGGCGACGCCGGCGCGCGAGCGCCTGCTCGAGGAGCTCCAAAAGGCCGTGACCTGGGAGGAGTACGTGTCGCGCGCCAAGGCCCAGGAGGACCAGGCCTGGGTCGACGACGAGAGCTCGATGCCGTCCGCGACGCTGCTGCGGCGCGCGATCGACGACCTCAGCGCCGCGCGGAGCCGGCGCGGCGCCGACGCCTGCAACGCGCTGCGCTTCGCGCTGAGCGGCGTCACGAAGCGGAACCACCTGGGCATCGAGGGCCCGGAGTGGTACCCGCCGACGAGCCCGACGGCGACGAAGCGGCTCATCGACTGCTACCTCGACGAGGTCGTCACGGGCCTAAAGGCCGTGTCCAAGGCGGCGGACGTGTCCGTCGAGGACAAGGCCCAGTTCTTCGACCAGGTGCGGCGCACCGTTGGCGTCACGGCGCTCTGCCTGTCGGGCGGCGGCGCGATCACGATGTACCACGGGGGCCACATTTTGGGCCTCATCGAGGCGGGCGTCTACGATAGCGTGCACGTCGTCTCCGGCACGTCCGGCGGGTCCATCATGGCGGCCATGTTCGGCTGCAAGACCAAGGCGGAATTGTTGCGGGACGTGCTCGTCCCGGGCGTGTCCACGGACTACACGAAGGACGGGCGCCAGAGGCGCGAGGGCCACCGCTTCTTCCCGCCGCTGTGGCAGCAGCTGCTCAACTTCGCGAGCAGCCGCGTGCTCGTGGACCGCGAGGCCTTCAAGCGGACCTGCGACTTCTACTGGGGCGAGATGACCTTTCTAGAGGCCTACGAGAAGACGAAGAAGGTCACGTGCATCTCCGTGTCCGCGCAGCGAGCGGGCGGCGGCTCGGGCGCGGCGCAGCGCCTGCTCATGAACCACATCACGACGCCCCACGTCACGCTGAGCAGCGCCGTGTCCGCGTCCTGCGCCCTGCCGGGCATCCAGCGGCCCCAGCGCCTCGAGGCCAAGGACGACCGGGGGAGGGTGGCGCCCTTCGAGGTCGACGGCGTCTCGTGGATCGACGGGTCCATCCAGGCCGACGTGCCCTTCAAGCGCATGGCGACGCTCTTCAACGTGTCGAACTTCATCGTCGCCCAGGTCAACTTCCACGTGAAATTGATCGTCGAGGACTCCGCGGGGCGGCCCGAGGGCCCGTGGCGCGGGTCGCTCGCGCGCCAGTACCGGCGCGTCGTCGGCGCCGCGGAGCTGTCCGTGCGCATGCGCGCGACGATGCTGAGCCAGCTCGGCTTGATGCCCACGCTCTACGGCAACAACATCCGCAAGGTCTTCTCGCAGAAGTACCACGGCGACGTCACGATCAGCCCGCGGTTCACGTACGCGCAGACCGTCGGGCTCAGCGCCATCTGCAACCCGACGGCGAGGGACATGGACCACTACCTCCGGGGCGGCAAGCGCGCCATCTGGCCCCACGTCTGTAGGATCCGCCGCATGGTGCTCCTCGAGAACGCGCTCGCGGAGTGCTGGAACGACGTCAAGGACGCGCGGCGCCGGTCCTTCGGCGACCTCGGGGCGGCCCAGCGGCCCTGCGCGTCGCCGACCATGGCCATGGGCAACGAGGCGCCCGACGGCGACGACTCGCCGGGCGCGCTGGCGCGGCGGCCGAGCGTGACGTTCGCGAACCCGGCGCGGGGCGACGACTCGACGGCGTACCGCCAGCTCGAGTGGGAGCACAAGCGGCTCCAGACGCGCCTCGAGCGGCTGCGGTCCGAGAACCTCGACCTCCGCAAGCGCCTCGCGGGCATCCGCGACATGTGCGTCAGCGACCGGCCGCTCCCGCGCGCGGGCTCCGCGGACTCGCTCCGCCGGGAACTCTCCGCGGAGTCGCTCTCGCCCCGCGCCCGCGCGGATAGTAATCCCAAGTAGAGCCTGGGCCATTAGAGCATCCGCCGCCGCTTCTTCGCCAACATCTTGCGGTAGGCGCGCTTGTACGTCTGCGTCAGCGACGTCCGGTTCGCCTCCCAGGCCGCGTGGATCTCGTCCTCGCCCGCCGCGGCCGCGTCGAGCGACGCCACGGCCGCCGCCCGCGCGGCCTCGGCGCCGTCCCAGAGGCCCACGCGCGCGAGGGGCAAGGCGCCGTCCGCCGCGACGGCGGGCGCCGCGACCGCGGGCGCCGCCGCGGGGGCCGCCGCCGCCGCGGTCGCCGCCGCGGGTGCCGCGGGAGCCACCGCGGGCGCCGCGGCGAAGTTGAAGCTGTGGCCGAGCGAGCCGCCGGAGGCGGCGAAGGGGATGGCGACGGTGCCGCCGCCCTCGCCGGCGAACTCCGTTTTGGGCGTCGCCTTGAAGATGTCGCGGAGCGAGTTCCACTCGTGCGACCCGACGGCCGTGCCGTGCTTCTCCTCCGCCGCCGCGGGGGCGCCGCCGGAGAAGTCGAAGCTGAAGCCCGCCGACGCCGCGGGCGCCGGCGGCGCCGCGGGCGCGGGGCTCGGCGCGGGCGGCGGCGCCTTCTTGGCCTTCTTGGCCTTTTTCGGCGCGGGGCTCGGCGCGGGCGCCGGCGCGGCGGGCTCGCCGTCGCTCTCGGACTCGGACTCGGACTCGGACGCGTCCTCGGCGGACCGCGCCGCGGCGGCCTTGAGCTCCGCGCCGCGCCGGCGCGCGTCGGCGATCTGCCGCCGCATGGCCTCGATGGACGACGACGCGTCGTCGCGCGGCGCCGCGGCGGGCGGCGGCGCCGCGGGCGCGCCGAGCAGCGCGTTCATGATGTCGAGCGCGGTGTCGCTCTCGGCCGCGAGGCCCCGCGAGACGGCGTCGGCCGGCGACGCGGCGGCGGGCGCCCCGTCGGACGCCGACTCGGACTCCGACTCGGACGCCGAGGCGTCGGACTCCGACTCGGACGCCGAGGCGTCGTCCGCGGCGGGCGCGAGCGCGCTCGTGCGGCGCTTCTCCGCGGCGATCTCCTCGCGGAGCTTCTCGATCTCGGACCGGGCGTCGCGCGCCGGCGCCGGCGCGCCGAGGATGGAGTTCATGATGTCGAGCGCGGCGTCGCTCTCCGCCGCGAGGCCCCGCGCCACGCCGTCGCCCTCCGAGGGCGCGCGCGCCGCGCCGTCCTCGGACTCGTCCTCGGACTCGTCCTCGGAGGACTCGGCCGCGGCGCTCGGCCCGGCGCCCGCGGCGCCGCCGGCGAGTAGCGCCTCCATGACCCCGAGGGCGGCGTCGCTCTCCGCGGCGAGGCCGCGCGCGATGGCGTCCGCCGGGGCCGCCGCCGCCTCCTCCTCCTCCTCGGAGTCGGAGTCGTTCGCCGGCGCCGAGGACGCGAGCAAATCCCCGAAGATGCCGAGCGCGTTGTCGCTCTCCGCGGCGATGCTCCGAGAGACGGCGTCGGCCGGCTCGTCGTCGTCGACGACGTCCTCCTCCTCCTCCTCCTCCTCCTCCTCCTCTTCGGCGTCGCTCTCCATTGCGTCAAACTCCGCCTCGGCGCGCGCGGCCTGATCGTCCTCCTCCTCGTCCTCCTCCTCGTCGCTCTCCATCGCGTCAAACTCCGCCTCGGCGCGCGCGGCCTGATCGTCGTCGTCCTCCTCCTCTTCGTCATCGCTCTCCATCGCGTCGAATTCGGCCGCCGCGAGCGCGGCGCGATCGTCGTCGCCGTCGGCGTCGGCGTCGTCGTCGTCCTCCTCCTCCGCCATGGCGTCGAATTCCGCCTCGGCGTACGCGGCGCGGTCGTCGTCGTCCATGGCGTCGTCCATGGCGTCGGCCGGCGCCGCGCGCGGCGGCCGCGGGACCGGCGCCCACGCGTCGTCCGAGGGCGGCGCGGCGGCGACGTCCGGGAAGCGCGTGACCCGGCGGCCGCGCTTCAGCGCCGCCGAGGCGCCGCGGTCCCGGACGATGCGCGCGTCGCGCGCGACGGTCTTCGCGCGCCGCTCCGCGCGCTCCTCGTCGCGCTTCGCCGCGCGCGCGGCGACGGCC